TACCACTATCACTGTCCATCAGAAGCACAAAGGTTAGACCTCACGTTTTGTTATTTCAAAACGAAAGCTAGTGTAGACTGCTTGTGCTAACTTGTTTTGAAAGCAGCCACAGGAGTCCTTGTTCTCTGCTCTGACCAAGAGGGAAGGAACTCGCCAGTGGCACCCACAAATGCAAATGTCACCAACCTGCTTCAGACACAGGTGGGAGGAGTCTTTGGCTTCCTTTATTGCTAAACTTTAAAAAAAAAAAAAGCAGCCATTTCGGTCTGGGCTGACTTAAGTCTAGCAAATAATTAGTGACACCCCCGCTCCCCATCCCTATGAGTCCACGCAAGATCAGGGCAGAGTTTGTAAAACAAAAAGGAGGGAAGCAGACGTGTTGGTGGTCGTCTGGAAGCAGGAAGATGAGGATTTCGAGGCTAGCTACATGAGACCCTGTCTAAAAAAAAAAAACCCACAAAAAACAAAGCAACACCTGCACCGTGGGTCCCCAGAACCCATGCATGAATGAATGCGCATCAGGGCCATTATTTAATTTTCCACGCCACCTTCTCAGGTCGGGCCCTCTCCTGGGAGAGCGGCGCGTGGGAGCGCAGGAAGGAGCCTGGGAAGTTTCCGTCTGTCAGGCGCCGGTGTTTAACGAGGGGGTGGCAGCCTATTTATAAGTGGGCCCCCGCGCGGGCAAACAAGTCTGGCGACATACGTGAAACTTTTCACCCAGCAGATAATAAGATACTGTGCGAGCCGGAGAAACAGCTCGGGAGCGAAAGGAGGCAGGAGCTTCCCTGGGAAGAGGACAGCGAGCTGAGGGCGCCCGGGGCCGCGCGCGGCCGTGCGCACCTGGGCCGCGTCCGCATCCCCGAGCCCAGCCCGGCTGTTGCGCGGCTTCCGGTCACCTGCGCCGCCCGGGCCGCGGAGCCCGCAACCGTCCGCGCAGGGCCGAGCGCACCGAGGGCCGCCGCTGCCGCCACCACCGCCCGCCCAGCCCGTGCCCGCGCTCGCCTGCGTCTTGTCGAACTGCTCGCGCTCGGCCTCAAGGCTGTGGCCCGGCCTGCGGTTCAGCACCCGCGCCGGCACATTCTTGATGCTGTTCATGCTGCCGCCGACCGTGTCCCGGCCCGGCTCCGCGCGAATGAGGCGTCACCGCCCGGCTCGAGCCTAGGCACCCGGAGGCCGCGCGCCGCGCCGCACGGGGAGGAGCCGCCGCCCCTCCCGCCAGTCACTCCGGCTGTCCAACCGACGCCCCGCCCTCCCCGGCTCCGAACGCTCCGCCCCCCGCCCCCGCCGGGTCCCCAGGACTCCTGGCGTGCCCCGCCCACTGCATCCCTTGATCAACCCCTAGCACAGTAGCCCCTGCGCTGTCCCCACCGTGGTCCCTTAGGACTCCCAGGACACCTGGCCATGCAACCCTCTGTCACCCAGGACGCTCTGCCCTGCATCCTTCCAGTCCCCCAGGACGTCTTACCCGGCACCCTTCTGGTCCCCCGGGACTCTGAACTCCAAGACCCTGCATCCGCTTCGTTCCCGCGGGACTTCCTGGGAGTGCCCCTTGCACACCTGTCCCTGTCACCAAGACTCCCCAACACACCCGCCCCGTCCCCCCCAATTCTGACAGATCAGATGCAAGGACAAATACCCACTTAGCTTGGCTTCATATCTACTCCCCTTCTCCCCAAACAAAGAAAAGATCAGCTGTCCCTTCCCCTTCCTCAGGTTGGATCTTTCTCTACACCTGTAGCGGGGAAACTGGAGCAAATTGAGTCTAGTCTCCTTGAGTGTGGTCAGTAGCCACATAGCAGGTTTCTTCAGTCTTTTTGTTGGGAACCCAGCCTTCCCTCCAAGTCTTTGCTTTTTTTGAGATAGGAAATGCTGTCTTGAGTTAGACACCTGACCGTCTGTCTCCCAGGTCAGGTGAAACTCTCTGAGGACCTTTCCTATTGCTTGTTCCTCACTGTGTTGACTCAACATTTCAGAGTTGGACAAGGCTGTCTTCGATGTTAAGAGATTAGCCATGCTTTATCTAATACCAATCAATGAAAAGCTTCTTTGCCAAAATAACAGTAGAGTAACAACAGCTGATACTGAAAACCTATTTGCCAGGTATAGGTCTAAACCCCTTATAGGTATTATCTTGCCCTAATCCTCGGCAATTCACTAAATACCCATGGTCAAAACAAAACAAAAGGGGCCGTTTTGCTCTATGCCAGCTGTTTCTCAGACTCTTTTTCTCACATGAGACAAAAACCAGTTATCCTGTGATTTTCATACAAAAGGCCATCCCCCACTGGGTATAGAACTTCTACTACAGTGGCCTGTCCTTATCAAAAGTCCCCATTCTTTTAGTCAATAGAGGCTATTCCTGTGCTGGCCATGCTGCTCAGCATTCGGTCAGCAGGATTCCATTTGATCTTAAAGTTTTGGTGGTATTTTTGCAGACCCAGACAAAAGGCTTAGAGCCCAGGTTTACACAATTGCAAAATGATGCCTTCAGGATGTGGTCACCAATCTCCCAGGTTTCATGCCACTGGGCTCTGAGATGCACACTTGTTGATGATACTGGAGTCCCTATGGCTCTTACAAGTAAGTAAAGGTACTTGCTGCCAAGCTTGATGTTCCTGAGCCCCACATGGTGGAAGGAGTGAAATGATTCCTGCGTGTTGTCCTCTGACCTTTAATTTCAAGCTGTGGCATACACATGTACACATACACAATATAAACACACAAATAAAATTTAATTTTAAAAAATGAGTGCGAGGGTAATCGTGAGACCTTTAATTCTAGCATTTTCAAGGCAGGTGGCCTCTGTGTGAATGAGTGACTAAAAAAGGGTTGTCATATAAAATGAAGCCTTTGAAAGAATAAACCATCCCCACAGAGTGGAGAACAGAGTGAAGACTTTACTGTTAACGTATGTTATAAATTGGCATTTCTGAGGTAACAACGGTGGAAACCCCACTGCCTTGATTATTAAGGTTCATCTCCAGACATCATCAACAGAGGGACCTGGTCGTTGACTGGCTGTCACTAACTGGCTGTCATCCCCCTCAACATCACAGTAAGGATGCCCTTTTGGTAAATTGTAACCGTTGTTTAATTCTCCTCCAGGGGAATACAAATTAGACTCCATCCAGGAGAACTGAGGAAAACAGCCAAGTTTGGAGGGGCTCACGGAACAATACTGTGTGCTGTAGTAGCTAACACCTCACTGACACACGGCACGATCCACCCAGCCCCTCTGCAGTTCTGTCTTGCGCCATCCTGGATTTTCAAGTCTGCACACGCATCATGCTCCTTCCAGAGCCTCAGGGACCTTGCACATGCTGTTAGTATACCTGGAATTCCCTTCCTGTTTGCCTGGTTGAGTGTCTGCTTACCTTGCAGCTCTTGGTTTAGATGCTATTTCTCTAGGGAAGCTTCCCTGACTCCTCCACCCTGACCTATGTCTCAGTATCTCAACATTCTATTTCATAACACCAGTCTTCCACGTGATTACTTAAGGTCTGTGTTTCCTACTAGAATGCAAGCAGGACTTACCCAGATATCTCCCATGGCCTCCAAAGCTGCATGGTGTGCTCACTGTGAATTTGTATGTGTGAGGTACCAGGGATTGAATCCAGGGCCTGGTGCATGCTGGGGAAACACTCTAACCATGAACTCTATCTCCAGCTCCCTCTCTATTTTGTTTTGAAATCAGGTCTCACTAGTGTCGCTTGAGTTGGAACTGAACTCACTCTGTACCTTCAGCTTGCCATCCTTGTGCCTGGCCTCCCCAGTAGATGGGGTTACAGATCCTTTCAGTGTTTTAAGCATTACCTGGCTGAGAACCCACAGGCCCTCCTAACAGAGCTGATTAACATGCACTGTCACTCGATAGACTCTTCTGGAAGGCCACCCCATTTTAACCCTGACGCATGTGTCAGGCATCTTGGTTGATTTAATTCAATCTGTTCTTTAGAATATGGAGGTTACTGATTAGAATCATTCTCCTGGAGGCTTAAGTGGCTGGCCTTCCTGCACTGTGCAGAAACCAAAATCACACCAACTGTCTTAAGGGAAAGAAAGCTACAGGCTAGAGTAGCAAGAGGCTTGCATACAAACCAGGGACATATGGGTCACTGTTCAGAGTGTGACATGTCTTCCATGACAGGGCTACCACCCTTGGGCTCATACCACAGTCTCAATTCTAAGCACTCCCTTGGCACTTTCTGGGTAAAACTGTTTTAAATGTTTATGTACAATCTTGATTCAGAATTTCTTTTGGAGGGGGTGTTTCTATTTCTGTCTAAAAGGTCTGTTCACAAGTTCCCAAAATACCCTGTATGGGTCTTTTCCAATGCTGAGATCATTTTTGGCAGGAGAATTATAATTCAGTTGCCTCCTAATATGTTGGTCTTAGGGAATGACAATGACAAAATGCAAATCCTAAAGGCTGGCTTATCTTGCAACTCTTTGCGACGCATATGAGAAATGGCTCCAATATAAAAATAACATGTCGAGACAAAGAAGATGATCATGTTAAAATTTGCCATTCTGAATTTCATGTTAACTCATAACAATCTTGTTAGGTCAGAAGAGGTTTGTAACACTGGATATGGTAACATACAGGTGGGACTCCTGTCATCCCAGCACCAGAGAAGCTGAGGCGGGGGACCACAAGTTTGAGCCAGTCTGGAATATACAGGTGCTATAGATATTTCAAGCCTATGAAATAAAATTATACTCAGCTATAAAATAGTGTATTTCAAATCCTGTTCTACCATACATTTTCCTATGGAGCATCGAGCTGGTGTTCCCTGTCAGCAGGCAAGTGGAGACACAGCCATGAGCCTACAGCACAGATCAGGAAAAGCTTACTATGTGGATCCTCAGTTTGGAACCTGGCCTCTCCAAGGGCTTCCCGTTTGGCGAGCGCTGGTTCAGAATCAGTTCTTCATTCTTAGTCTGGCTCAGCACAACGAGTCTAAAGAGAAACCAAGTATGTATAGAGGGTGCCAGCCTCACCCAGTTTCTTTTCAGCACCCTTACTACACAGGTGAGCTCAGAGCTCAAAAGCCTTCCCCACCCCCATCATGAAAATCATCCGGGAATAAACCCTGATGCCTCTAACAAAGGGGCATTGACCCAGCACAATACAACCTTCATCTGCAGTGCTTAAGAGACGTCCACTTGCTAGGCTGCACTTAAAGTTCCTCTTAGCCTGGCGGTGGTGGTACACGCCTTTGATCCCAGCACTCACTCAGGAGACAGAAGCAAGCAGATTTCTGTGAGTTTCAGGCCAGCCTGGTCTACAGAGCTAGTTCCAGGACAGCCAGGGCTACACAGAGAAACCCTGTCTGGAAAGTCAAAAAGATTGATTAAATACGTACGTATGTACATACATACATACATACATACATACATACATACCTTGTTTTAGTCCTGTATAGTAAAAGGAAACCAAATAAAATATTTTTTATTATTAAAAATATTTTTATTGAATGAAGCTGGTCAATTCTGGTAGAAAGGACAAAGGCAAATGGTATAATCTTTTTAAAAAATTAAATTACAAGTAAAATAGAATTTTTAGTCTTCAATATTTTCTTTAAAATCCATACAAAACTTGATCTTCCAGCAAGCGCTGTCCTGTGTAAGTGAACTGTCTTCTACAGAGCCAGGCAAGATACAGCTGTCGCCTGAGGACAGGCGGGCCTTAACTGCTAGCACCCAAGCTAATAGTGTCCTGTTACAAACTTTACACCACCTTATCTCATGTCCATCACTACAGCAAAGTCCAACACTAAAACCAGAAGAGAAGAAGAACACACACAGGAAGCTGACTCTCGGGAAATTACAGTTATAACGTGGATACACACAGACTTTAAGGAGGCTGACAGCTGAAGTGAGTTTTACACACAGGGTGTTGGATACTCCCAGGATGCTGTTAAAAGATTCCTGCATCTTGACAGTTTGGTTTTTGCCTTTTCCTTTTAGCGTATTTCCAAAAGTGTGTGTAGAGTAAGGCCTCGTTTTTTTAGGCATGAAAATTACTTTTTACACAAAAAAAAATGATTCATCAAAAACAAAACATAGATGCTTTAAGAAGTAAACTTGAGTGTCTCCCCGCCTTCGCATTAACGGCTGGTTATGTGGGGATCACAGTCCTCTTTATCGTCAGGTGACTGTATGGTATCCACTTTCTGCCTTCCAAAGAGAATCTTGTTTCTGGGAGAAAACAAAAACAGTCAACAAAATGGAAATGGGTCAGCACTGAATGTGCTGGGAGCTCCTGCTCTGAGACCCTGACCACAGATCTGGTTTTCTTCATCACTAAGGTCTGATGATGTTTTGTCAGGATGAGAGCAGGGGCAGGAGGGGAGGCAGGCAGGGGCAGGAGGGGAGGCAGGCAGGGGCAGCTGACATGTCTTGCCCTCCAACCGGAAAGGCTCTGGTGCTTAACAGGAGAATCCTGTAGCACCTACGCCATGGAACTCATGGACTTGGAAGGAAGATCTGACAGAATCAGACAACACAACAAAGTGCTTCCTGGGGGACAGACTCATCAAACTCAAGGTCACACAAGACTCTGTCTAGACAGACAGACAGAAGCAATGCTGAGATATAAACTTAGATGCCACTTGAAAAATTCTATTTTCTGGGTCAGGGTATCACTTACGTAGCCCAGGCTCATCTCTAACTCCTCATCTTTTTGCCTTAGTCTCCCAAGTTCCCAGGTGCTACAATTACTTTTTGAGGCAGGATCTTACTTGTGATCAAACATGTGATTCTCCTGCATCAGTCTTTCCTTAGGAATTACACACTGTGCCAGATGACCCAAATAAGATTTTTTTTGGGGGGGAGGAGGGTCAAGACAGGGTTTCTCTGTGTAGCTCTGACTGTTCGGGAACTCACTCTGTAGACCAGGCTGGCCTAAAACTCAAAGATCTGCCTGCCTCTGCCTCCCGAGTGTGGGGATTAAGGGATTATGCCACCACTGCTCAGCTAAGATGCCAATTTTCAAAACTGGATGGATACACCAACTTCCTTAGATTTAAAATTATCAGTAAGAAGAACAAAAATTTTTTCAATTTATAATTCACTTACAAGTAATTGGCATTCTACTCAGGTTAATTATAGTAAAAGCAAATCAGGAAAAGGGAAAGAATTACTGGGTCGGATAGATGTGTGGCTTTGACTCTACACTATTGACATTCCTGGTTACTTATTAATATCAATTGTGATACAGGGTGAGACAAGCAAAGGTGACCTACGCATGACCACAGTCAATGTCCAAGTTGACTTTGTCTCTTTCAATGACTGACAAAGGTGGTTTTTTCATTTGGCTCTTCTGAGACTTCTAATTTCTAGAAAAAACAACTCCAAAATTAGTATCTAAGTTAGAGAAATTAAAAAATACTTTAGACAACTAAACACAAATATCTTTCAAAGACCTTGGGGGGACTGGAGAGATGGTTTAGAATAGAAGCACTTGCTGAGCAAGCCTGACAACCTGAATTTGATACCTGGAACTTAGAGTGGAAGGAGAAAACCAACTGCCATAGATGCCACAGCACAAATGCAAACACACACACACACACTACTAAAAACCCTATTACAATACAATGTACTTGTCTTTGGGGAACATTTCACTGTGTGCTGTTTGTAGCTGGGCTAGCCTAATTCAGAATCTCCTACCTCAGTCTCCATGTATCTGGACTGTAGGTACTCAGCACTGTGCCTGGTTTACAAAGTCTTTTTGTTGTCATTCTTTCTCAACTTATTTGTATGGTAGTGTGTGTGTGTAAACACACATCATGGCATGTATTTGTTGGTCGGAGGACAACTCTTGGGAGCTGGTTCTTTCCTCCCACTAGTGGGATCCAGGGATAGGGACGAAACTTAGGTTGTCACTCTTGCTGGTAAGAGTCTTTACTGTCTGAGCCATCTCACCAGCCCATCATTTTGTTGTAATTTTTTAGAAGTTTTTTTTTTTAATGATACTTATTTGTGCGTATGTAAGTGGCATGGGGCTCAATTCAGAATGTTAGTTTAGGCAGCAAGAGTCTCTACCTAGACCCACACAGCCAGCTTAATAGCTTTTTTTTTTTTTTGGTTTTTCGAGACAGGGTTTCTCTGTGTAGCCTTGGCTGTCCTGGAACTCACTCTGTAGACCAGGCTGGCCTCGAACTCAGAAATCTGCCTGCCTCTGCCTCCCAAGTGCTGGGATTAAATGTGTGCACCACCACCGCCCGGCTTAATAGCTCTTTTTTTCCTCTCTTCCTCTCCCTCCCACTTCTTCTTTCTTATTGTCTTTTTGAGATAGGATTTCTCTATGTAGTTCTTGCTGTCCTAGAACTCACTATGTAGGCGAAGCTGGACTCAAATCCATAGAGATTCTCCTGCTTCTGCCTCCAGAGCACTGGACTAGAGGTGTGCACCATCACTTTTAATATTTATTTCATTATTTGCTTGGATGACTGTTTTGAGGAGGGTCTTGATATACAGCCTTTGCTGGCCTAGAACTTGCTATGAAGACAGGACTGTACAGATATGGTGTAGAATACATGCATACAAAACACTCATACACATAAAATAACAAAAATAACAATATATCTTTAAAAAGATACAAGTAGGGCCAGGCAATGGTGGTGCATGACTTTAATCCCAGAACTCAGGAGGCAGAGGCAGGCACATCTCTGTAAGTTCAAGGCCAGATTGGACTACACAGCTAGTTCCAGGACAGCCAGGGTTACACAGAGAAACCCTGTCTCAAAGGGAAGAAAATTACAAGTGTGGATGGGCTTGTAGTCTCCAAGTTGGAGAGGCAGGGAGGAGTAGATCACTGATCAGACAGACTAGCCTACTCGGTGAGGTCTAGGATTAAAGGTATGTGCCCCTTGCCTGACCACTTTTTTCCTTTCTTTTCTTCCTTCCTTCCTTCCTTCCTTCCTTCCTTCCTTCCTTCCTTCCTTCCTTCCTTCCTTTCTTTCTTTCTTTCTTTCTTTCTTTCTTTCTTTCTCTCTTTCTCTCTTTCTTTCTTTCTTTTTTTGAGACAGTCTCTCACCATGTAGCCCAGGCTGGTCTTGAACTCATGAACCTCTCCCCTTGGCCTCCCAAGTTTTGGGATTACAGGCACAAATCTTAAACTCATACATAAAATGTCTAGTCCTGTGCATTAGTCACAGCACCAAGCTCCATTTAGGGCTGAGGTGTCCCCATTCTCATTGGCAATAAGGGGCTGCCCTGAGTGTGGCCAGCAGGACTGCAATTTATTCCCTCACCTTTTTTCCTGGTCAAGTTTTAAATTATTGGAGTTCTGTTGTTGTTATTGTTGAACAGTTAATACATTTACACTAGTTCAAAAGACCAAATAATATTTAAAACAACAACGAAAAACAGACTGGGCCAGTGAGATGCCTTTAGCAGTTAAAAGTTCCTACCACCAAGCCCGACAGCCTGAGTTGGATACAAGAGATCCCCATGGTGGAAGGAGAATGGTCCTTCTACAAACTGTCCTCAGACCTCCACCCATGAACTACAGCACATGCACACCCACTCACCACATATACTCAATAGAACAGTGTTAAAACCTGTATAATATAACAAAGAGTATGGTCTGTACCTTTCCTTTGCATCATGCTAGGAACAGTTACAGTCTCTGTCCAATGCAAACTAAAAGTTCCAAGGAAAACCTGGAATTATGCCATCTCCTACCCATGCAGAAGTGTCTGGGAGAATCACAAAATGACACTGCTTGTCCAAGGGTCAGAAGCCCCGCTGTTCCCTGCAGGAGGATGGATCTCTGGAGCTCCCCAGTGTGGCAGAAGAGGATCTCTTCCACAGAGGGCTCTGAACTACTACTGCCCTTTAGCTCCCAATGATGACACCTCAGAAAGGCAGACAGGATACTCAAAACTTTACCCTCCTTCCTTGTTGCAAAAACAAGAATCTTTTCATAAAATCATTTGCTTTTCCTGTTTTTAGCTTTAACAAGTTCATACACAGGGGAAGGAGTGTATGAAGCTTGTTGCCACGTACATTTCTGCTGTTTAAATTCTGTTTCCAGTATCTCCAGAATCAGTTAATCCATCTGCAAATACATTCTGTCTGGAGCCAGTGCTATTTGTTTGTTTGTTTCTTTTCCAATTAACTGGTTTTCTGATTCTGTGGAATGCTGATCAAAGGATTTAATCCCTTCCCTCATCGATAAAGGGAAGGGTGGGATCATAGACTTCTTCTTCTTTCCAACTCAAAAATTCTCTCAACCCAAGTTTTTCCCAGCCTCACAGAGCTTCAGTACAGACGTGAGATCCACTCTCCTGCACTTTCCTCTCAATTCCACTCAAGGTCGTGACCAAGGAGCCTCTGTAGCAGGTGATCAACCAGTGTGAACCACGATGGAAAATGATGGAGATGCACAGACATGCAGCTCACACCACGGAGACAAAGTGAGGGCGCTCTGGGTTGTATCTGAGATAGCAGATAGGATCTCACATAAACCCAACGCCCTCTTCTGGCCTCTTTCAGCACTGTACAGACATAACATAGGCTGGCACAACACATAAAAATATTCCTTTAAACAATACAAGTGTGAGCCAGGCAGTGGTTGCACACACTTCTAATCACAGCATTCAGGAGGCAAAGGCAGGCAGAGAGCTCTGAGTTCCAGGCTAGCCTGGTCTACAGAGTGAGTTCCAGGATAGTCAGGGCTACACAGAGAAATCCTGTCAATAAAACAATAACAACAACAAAAATACGAGCGTGTTAGAATTGCCTTGTAATCTCAGAACTGTGGAGGCATAGAGAGGCAGATTACTAACCAGCTACAGTGGTCTACTTGGTGAGTTCCAGTAGGAGATCCCGTTTCAAAAACTGGTGGGTGACACCATCCAACACTGTCCGCTGACCCCCACCAGCAGCATGTCTACACACAGCCTTTGCACTCCCGCAGGCACATAGTCATACAATGAGATATCAATTGGCAACTAAGAACACAGTACCAATGTCCCAACAACACAAATCAGTCTCAAAATATCAAGGAAAAAGGTGAAGAGTACACACAGGCTCTAGGAGACCCATGTTGGTTCTGAGGACCAATATGGAAAAAATAAACTATATCTACTGCGTGACTGTGTTTCCACAATGCTCCGCAGCAGGCAGTGATAGCCTGCAGTGATGAGATCACAGCATGTGGGATGAGTACAGAGGCACTCACTGCACAGGGCGCCCAGGGAACTCCCTCTGATGGAGGTTCTCTCCTCAGTGAACACTGCATGGGTTCACATGCACGACCACACTTACTGAAGCAGCATGAGTTTGACGACTTTTTCATTAAAACAGCAGGGAAGACACTGAAGACATCTCGTGTGTGTGTGTGTGTGTGTGTGTGTGTGTGTCTGTCTGTCTGTCTGTGTGTGTGTGTACTTATGTGTACAGGTATGAACACCCATACATGTGAGTAACGGCCAGAGGACATGGGTGTCCGGCTCTCACTCTGCCATATACTCCTTTGAGACCGAGTCCCTCACGGAATCTAGAGCTAGGCTGGCAGCCGACGAGCCTCAGGATCCTCCTGTCTCTGACTCCACAGCTCTAGAGTTCAGAGCATACATCCACACTTGGCTTGTTATGTGGGTGCTAGGGATTTGAACTCAGGTCCTCACACTTATACAACAAGCACTCTTTGCACTGAGCCATCTACCCAGCCCTACATTAAAATAACTCTTAATGACATTTTTCACTTTATTGTATGTCAATTATATTTCATTAAAATCTGGTATTTTTGTTTGGGAGATTTCTTGGGGGGTGGGGGATTTCTCACTCACAGAGATGGAATCCAGTGCCTTGCTTATGTCCAAAACACAATATACTATTGAGCTACATCCCCAGAAACATTAATTACAATAGCGAAGAAATAAAAGGGGTGGTGAGATGGCTCAAGAGGTAAAGAGCTTCTGCCAAGCCTGATGATTTAAGTTAATCCCCAGAACCCACACGGTAGGCAGAGGGGACCCACCTCTTGCAGTTGTCCTGTGGCCTCCACACCTGTGCACATCCACATCCACATCCACACAATCGATACAATTTTTTTTTATTGGGCAATATTCTTGTAGACTTTTCATTATTATTATTTGGAGTCTTGGTCAACAAAATCAGTCTAACTTAAATGGCTTTCAAATATCTTTAATTACGCAGACAGCATGTCCAAAGACTATACCTTAAGTCTGAAATGGGAAGTGTAAGCCATGAACTCTTACTTCACAATGAGGGACTATCTGTCAAGTCGCATGTTCTGTACAATGTTTAGATAATAGGCAATAAAATCCATACAGCAGCTTATACAACTACTGTTGAAATCTTACTATGGCCAAAAGAAATAGCCAAAATTGATATGTAAAATTCTGAAAGAATGACAGCTTTCAGCCTAGAGAGATAGCTTAGTAGATGAATCTACTCAAACCCCTACATCTAAACACCAGTGTAAAGGAATTATAGAGAAAAAAGGAAAGTGCCGCAAACATGGCAAGGGAAGAGTTTTCTATCCAGAAGGCAGTTCTATCCCAGCTTCAAAGCAACAAAAAATGTTAAAGAATGAAACGGGAGTTGGGAGTAGTACACACCTTTGGCTCTAGTGCAGAGGCACGTGGATCTGTGAGTTTAAGCTAACAAACACACATCAAAAAGGAAGGAGAGAGAGAGAGAGAGAGAGAGAGAGAGGGGGGGGGGGGGGTGGGTGGGGGTGGGATGTAGTCAGGGTGGGAGGGAGGGAGGGAGGGAGGGAGGGAGGGAGGGAGGGAGGAAGAGAAGTGCCAGACATATTGGCATATGCCTTTATTCTCAGCATTAAGGAGGCAGAGGCAGGCAGATCTCCATGAGTTAGGAGCACAGGACAGCCTGCTCTCCATACTAATTCCAGGCTAGCCAGGGTTAAGGATAAAATCCTATCACAAACAAACACACAAAAATAAACAAATGTAAAATCAAATGTAAAATTTAAAGTATAGAGGAGGAAGATAAAATTAAAATGGCAAGTGTTTGGTGGTTGTCAGAGCTGAACAACTGCATTTTTTTTTCTACTTTTGAGTGTTCTTAAACTCTTATGTACACTTTAAATTTGAAACTTTGGAGCCCTACATGGTAGTGCACACTTTTAACCCCAGCACTCAGAAGGCACAAGGATCTTTTCAAGTTTAAGGCCAGCCTGATCTATATAGTTCAGGACAGCCAGAGTTATATACAGAGACCCTGTCTCAAAACAAACACACAAAACAAAACATAAATACATTTGAAACTCTGTGTGTTTTAAAAGATCTCCAAAAATGTGGGTGGAGGGTAAGGTACTTGCTACTTAAGGCCCTAGGTTCCATTTACAGTAGCAGAAAACAGCAAATTAAGTGTCTGCCCTTAGATATCCCACAAATGAGAAAGAAGCAATTTGGAACAGTGACCATTTTTGGTTTGGTCTCTCTAGACCCACAGCACAGGCGTCCCATTTCAGACTCCAGAGCACTGTGCCTCTCTTCCTGAAACCTTCATTCTGTCGGAACGTCACCTCCCATATTCAGACCCTATTGCTGTAGGGCTCAAGAGAAGGGGCTCCAGGCTGGGGACATAGAACAGCCAGCATGTGCTACCACACAAGCATGAGGGCCTGAGCTTGAACCCAGTACCCACAGGGATAGCAGATCTTGTCTCAAACAATAAGGCAGACAACTCCTGAGCAACACTGAGGTTGCCTTCTAGCCTAGAAAACACACACACACACGCACAAACACACACACACATGCACACGCACGCGTGCGCGCACACACACACACACGCCTCCCTGCAGATACACCTATAACTACACAATTGTTTTAAGAAAGAAAAGGGAACGCACACTTCTGTTGAGACTATCACAGCTGATGGGCAGCAGTGTGCTCAGCTCCAGATCCGTGACCATCTGCCGAGACTCAGCCAGCAGGCGCTGGAGCTTACTTGTAGGAGAAAAGTCATCCTGAAACAACAATGCAGGTCACAAGTGTAAGGGACATTTCTAAGTGTTTTGCACAATCACAACTTACACAGACATTAACTCTGTCAATGGAGACATCAGTATTATTAAATATACCCAATTCCTTTCATTTCTTACAACTTACTCAATGAAATAATGCAACATTGACAGAACCTACTATGACTAATTATAAGATTCTTAGACATTGTTTGGTGTTCCTACAAACTTCAAGCCAGATGGGTATGGTGGTACACACCTTTAATTCCAGCACTAAGTAGGCAGAAGCAGGCAGATCTCTGAGTTCAAGATTAGCCTAGTCTACCTAATGAGTTCTAGGCCAGCCAGGAATACATAATGACACCTTATCTTTTTTTTTTTTTTTTAAAGTCAAGTCATAATTAGCGGGTCAAAGTAACTGTGAAACAAAACCTTGACACTAAAGGTATGTGGGCTTTTAGAATATGTGGAGATGCTTTTTTAAATGTGTAGCCCAAGCTGGCCTTGAACTCATGATCCTCCTGAATCTGTCTTCTTGAGCAAATCCTACTGTTGTGTGCCACCACAACCGGCAAAAGAGTCAATCCTTAAGCAGAAAATTGTAAGAGTCTGTACGCTTTCCAACATATGAGTTCTAGGAGCCAAGCTCAGGCTGTTGGGCGTGGTGACGAGCACCTTTACCCTCTCTCTGAGCGGTCTCGATGGCCTCTAATGTAAACACAGAACACTTGTTTACTTTGTGTGTGGAGAGAAGGCTCCATGGCAAGAGGTCAGAGAAAACGTTGCAAAGTCAGTTTTCCATGTGTACCCAGAGGATTGAGATGATTGGATTCGGTTCGTCGTCAGGCTTGCGTTTACTGACTTTACCCCAAACCAAAACACCCTGCAATCAAATAAATCAATATAAAAGGAGGCAGTCCCTCACCAGCTCAGTTTTGGTTTCTTGAGACTGGCATTTTACTCTGTAGCCCAGGCTGGCCTAGAACTCACAATGACTCTGCCTCTGTCTCCAGAGTGTGAGGACTACAGGTGTGTATTACAACTTTTGTCTTGTTGTCCTTTCCTTTCCTTTTTACCAGATATGTGCAAGGGAAAAAAGGAAATAAAAATTTTGAAAAACTGTTTGATCAAAGCTTATTGTTCTCACCTATTATTAAAATCATCTTTTCTTTTCTTTTTTCTTTTCTATTGTGTAGACCAAGCTGGCCTCAAACTCACAGAGATCTGTCTGCTCTGTCTCTGTCTTCCCAGTGCTAGGTTTACCTAGTTTTTTTTTTCCTTTAATCTTTAGAAAAAGGAGGAAAATGTAGGTGTGGTGGCTCATATCTGTAATTCAAGCACTGAATAGGGAGACTCTGTTAGAAAAAGGAAAAGAGGAAGAGGAGGAAGAGATGGATGCTGAAGACCTGGGAGTGGTGCACACCTATCCCAGCATTTGGGCAACGAAGAATTCAAGTCTGTCCTTAGCTACATGGTTGGCCATCCTGGGCTCCATGAGACCTTGTCTTAAAATAAAACCAAACAAACAAAAAACCCTAAACACACACACACAAAACAGAAAAGGAGGTAAAAAAATTTATAAAACATTCTTTAATTAGAGATCTGAATCAGTAAGATGGTGAAAGGGAGCACAATGTGTATGCACACGTACGTACATACACACTTGCACATGACAGGAGAGTGGATGGACAGCTAGGTCCTATGATCGACCACCAGGCCTCATCTTGCCCATTATCGTCAGCGGAAGGAACGGAGCCTTCAATCTGTACATAGCTCCTTGAGGGCTCACAAGGTGAGCGGGTCTCTTTTATAGTAGAATCCCAGTGCCGCATTTGTCATTTCTGCAGCCACATCTAAGGTCACCAGTTGGTGGCCTTTGGCTCTCTGGAGACTGCTGTTACCAGGGTATGTGTGAAGGAGGCATGGCCAAGGACAAGCAACTGAGTAGGATTTGCTGCCAATTCTTTTTGTACTGCTGTTGGTTTCAAGTTGAAAAAAGATCAATACAACAATTTTTGAGAGAAAAACAATATTGTTTAATAAGAATTTCAAAGGCTAGCAAGATGCCATAGTTCAATCTCTGCGACCCACAGTGGAGAGATAAAACCAATACCAGAAAGCTAGCCTCAGACTTCCCCATGAATGCTATGGTACACACCTGCACACACACATGCACATCACACACATATAGACAATAATAATAAACACTTAAGAAAAGAAAAATAAGCCAGCCAGTGGTGGTGTACACCTTTAACCCCAGCACTCGGGAGGGAGGCAGAAGCAGGTGGATCTGAGTATAAGGTCAGTCTACATAGTGAGTTCCAGAACAGCCAGGCTACTCAGAGAACTGTTGTCTCTGGAAAAGAATAAGAGAGAGAGGGCGGGGGGAGGGAAGGAGGGAAGGAGGGAAGGAGGGAAGGAGGGGAGAAAGGAAGGAGGAGAGGAAGGAAGGAAGGAAGGAAGGAAGGAAGGAAGGAAGGAAGGAAGGAAGGAAGGAGAAAATAACCTAAAAGGGGACAAGAAGACAATGGGGAAAGAACAGGAACAAAGTACAGGGGGAGCACACAGTGTGTGTGTGTATAAAATTGTGAAAGAATAAACATTTTTCAAGTGTGTGTGTGTCTGTGTGTGTGTAAAATTGTGAAAGAATAAACATTTTCAAGTAACCTTAAAGGTCTATGATTTAAAACAAATTTGGCCCCAGATAAAGTGGTATACATCTTTAGTCCTAACACTCAGGATGCAGAGGCAGGTGGAGTTTGAGGTCAACATGGTCTACAGGGTAAGTTCCAGGACAACCAGGGCTATGTACAGAGATCTTGTCTCAAAAAAAAAACCAAAATTTTAAAAAAGCAAAAAACAAAAAAGCCCATTTAGATGATTTTATGTGTATGAGCATTTTGCCTGCATGAATGTGCACGTGTGTGCCTGATACCCATATGGAAACTAGAGATGGTTGTAAGCCACCAAACTTGGTCCTGTCCAAGAGCAGCAAGCACTACCAGCTGAACCATCTCTCCAGTATGTAAGATGGAGGCCCTCAACTTTATAAAGATCTAGCAATGATGAATGCTACAAAGAATAAAAGCATGTTAAGGAGAAACTTTGCTTAAATAAATTGAGAACTTTCATGCAAAACATAAACCTTTTCATTGGATGAGGGTCTTTTGTCAGGAAGGGCCTCTAACTCATCTTCTCTTTCAGCAGACTTTAAGGAACCCAAACATTGGGAAGGTTGGATGCCAATGAGCTCACTGCAGAAAATAAGACCAAAGAGAAAGTGTCACACACATGCTACTCACACACTTAGAAAGTATGTTAAGAGGACAAAGAATCGACAAGGTCTTGCAATGTAGTCCAGGCCTCAAACTTGTTATGGCTCCCATGCTGGACTAGAACTCACATGCCTCCACCACAGCCTCTGCAGGGCTGGCTAACCAGCATACATTACCATCGCTAGCTTAAATATGTTTTTGAAACAAGGAAGGCCAAGGCTGGAGTAATGTAGATCTGGATAGTTATTATATATTAATACATATTTTGCAAGTAAGAATTAAAATTAGTAGTTTAAGGCAACTATAAGAATAAGGAATTTCCCTCCTTCAAAAAAAGTACAGAGGTAGGGCTGGATAAACGGCACACTGATTGAGGGCATGTATTTTTCCTACAGAGGACTCAAGTTCATTCCTAGCACCCACAAGGTTGTTCAACTCCAGCTTCCAGAGATCTGACACTTTCTTCTGACCTTACAGGCAGTTATACATCTATATGTGTGTGGATGAGTGCACACATGCACAAGTTAAATAAATAACAAAAAATAAACCAACTAAAAAATATTCTTAAACCTTTAGCTAGGTAGTAGTGACACATGCTTTTAATCCCAGCACTTAGGAGGCAGAGACAAGTGGTTATCTGAGTGTGAGCCCAGTCTGGCGTAAAGAGCAAGTTCCAGAACAGCCAGGACCACACAAAGAAACCCTGTCTGGAAGTGGGATGTGGGGTTGTGGGGAGTAAAAGAAACAAAAACCTTTTTAAAAAAGCCAGCATACTGAGCACACCTTTAATCCCAGAACTCAGCAGAGACAACTGGATCTCTGTGCATTCAAGGTGAGCCATATCTATAATGTGAGACTCTGTTTCAAAAAAAAATCAATAAATGAACAAAGAAATCAATAAATGAAACTTTAAAAGTAAAGAAGGGCCACCAAGATAGCTCAATGGGTAAAGCTGCTTGCCACCAAGCTGAGGGACCAGAATTCAATCTCTAGGACCCACAGGGTAGAAGGAGAGAATCAACTTCCACAAGTTGTCCTCTGACCTCCACACAAATGTTGCGGCACGCACGCACGCACGCACGCACGCACATATACATACATACATACATACATGCATAAATGCATGCAGTTAAATCGGTTTTGGTTTTAAGTACAGAGGCTAGGGGTGCAAGCTCACTAGTAAGGCACTTGATTAGCATTCTCAGCTCTAGGTTCAAACCCTGAAATAAAAAAAACTAAGTTTTAGTGAAAAAGTAAAGAAGGTTCTAGGGACAGGATCCCATAGAAGGCAGGGTAGGTACTAGTGTTTAGCTGTGAAAAGCTAGGCTTCAGCTTATGAACCTGACAAGTGTCCCTGCCTTGGTGAAACTGGAGCAGCACCTGAGCTGCTGACCGCTTCCCTGCAGGCACGGAGTCTCAGGAACCACACAGGAGAGCAGGTACCTGTGGGTCCCCCTCACAAACAGACCTTGCTTGTTAAGTGGGCTGGGGCACAAATCAGAACATTTACTCAGATAATAAAGTGAGTTCACAGGTTCTTGTAACTTGAGATAAACAGAAAAACACCACAATCTTTTCTACTTATCATGAACTTGTGTTTGAGGCTCACTTGGCAGAACAAGCTGACATTTAAATTATAGAAGTTAGTGAGGTCTTAGAAACCTTGAAAAAAAACACAGAAGGTAAGCTTGAATTCATTTGTACATCATACACGCAATCCTCTTAAAAGTACCCAATGCAGGCTTTCCCCTTATAAGTACAGAATATTTGAGAGCTGGAGAGATGGCTCAGCAGTTAAGAGCACTGACTGTTCTTCCAGAGGTCCTGAGTTCAATTCCCAACAACCACATGGTGGCTCACAACCATCTGTAATGGGACCCGTTACCCTCTTCTGGTTTGTCTGAAGAGACAGCAGTGTGCTCATATACATACATACATACATACATACATACATACATACATACATACATATTGGGGAGGGCACACATGAAGCTCTCAGTGGTTGAACCCTGGACCAGCCTATGTTTCAATTCCCAGCAACACACAAACACACAGAAGATCTTGAAGATCTAGGTACAGATAGTTATTTCCTGATACTTTCAGCTTTCCAAAGATTTTTAAAAATCAAATAACTTAATGACATTTAGTATGGCAAGCGATTTTTAAATTTGCACTTAACAGAATATCTATATGGTTCTTAATGACCCAAGCTTTTTAAAAGGTTCAAAGAATACCCTACATAATGTAAGTACTAGAAATTTTAATCTTAAAGTCCTGTGAAAGTCAATGCAGTGACTAAAATAAGGCTCTCAATATAGAAACGTCATCCTTTCTGTGCTCTGACGAGCTATGCTTTACTTAAAAATAGCAGGCATTATTACAGAGCCACTCAGCCACAAGACTCACCACCTCTAACAATAAGACAAGCTTGAATAATTTAGCATATACTAATTGTCTTAAGAAAAAAGAAGCCAGTTACTCTTTTTTTTTTTTTTTTTTTTTTAAGATGGTGTTTCTTTTTTTTTTTTTTAATTTATTTATTATATGTAAGTACACTGTAGTTGTCTTCAGACACCCCACAAGAGGGCATCAGATATCATTATAGATGGTTGTGAGCCACCATGTGGTTGCTGGGATTTGAACTCATGACCTCTGGAAGAGCAGTCAGTGCTCTTAACCACTGAGCCATCTCACCAGCCCGAAGCCAGTTACTCTTATCAGCTTGTTAAACACAAATTTTCTGTCTTTCACATCATATTTAGAAACTAAGAAATGCTGGGCAATAAAAAATTGAAAACTATGACTTGAAAGGTACTGTAGTCTGGGCCTCAAAGGGTCAGCCTGTCAACCAGAAAGCATCCTGAAGGAACGCTCCAGAACAGCATTCCACTCTGTAGCGTGACCTACTTGCTTGTTTTCTAATAAAACATCTTTGCCCAGCTCATAACTGGTTCTGCTTTTAAGCAAAACCTTTGCCTTAGAAGCTGCCCTCAGTGCGAAGTCTCCACTGGAGCCTATAATGTCTCCTTGCACAAAGACCCCAGTGTCTATGCCCTGAGGAAAGAGCAAAAGGTTTGTCTGAAGTAGGATGTAGTTGCCAGTGCTTTCTTGCTAGCCATAAGCATGAATGTCTACTGCAGCCTTTCTGTCCCTGCTGCCGTGTATGTACCTCTGTTTACAGATGTGAACATCACTAACCTTGCTGGGAAATTATACTTCATTGCGCTGACACTTCTTGAACAGGTACACAAGGTTTTGTGGCGAACAATCCTTTGCGCTTTGGAAGGCTTGAAAATATTCATCCACTCTGTATCGGTCATATGTCCTGGGGCTTCAATGATGATGTTACTTGGGTGGCAGCACTTGGACTCAGACGGGTCACTGTCACCTATACAGACTTCATTTTGGGTGCAGTATGAGACTTCAGATGTTTCTGTGGGGTCGTGGCAGTCCCCGTCCAGCTTGTCTGGCTGTTTTGAGCAGTTGGAGAGGCCCAGGTAGACGTTGATGTCATGCCACTGCTTCTCATCAGACAGGGAGGCGGAGGTCTCTGAGAGCTGCTTCTCTTCCATCTGAAGGTCCACTCCATTGCATTTTGGTGATTTTGCATGAACCTTGCATAGTGTAACTTTGTTTTCCGGTTCAGTCTGGATTTTTCCACCCAGAGACCAAGACTTTTGTTTCTCCAGTAAGTCTTTGGTAAATAGAGATGAGAGACCAATTACACTTTTTTCCCCGAATGCAGTATTAACCTGTAGCTTCTTCTCTCTGCATGCATCACAAGAGCTCTTGTCTGACCTATTGTGCTGAGCCAACGTGACCTCAAACTTTTGATCCTTAACCAATGACTTCTGATTTCTCTCTCTTTTAATATCGATTTTTGGGTAGTTATTGTCAAGGTCTGATAAACACATGTCTCTGCTACAGTGGCATTACAAAAAAATAGGAGTTATAAGATAGACTTGACACCACCATCTACTAGCATTACCTCCCCGAAACCTCATGAGTAGACCTAAATCCCAATAAAGCCCATTAGTCTGACTTTCGGAGCCCAATTCCAGCCCTGCCTCCTATTGGAAGCCTTTCTGAACACCAAGCCTACTTGCCCCTCCCCTTCCATCCCTCACTCATTGGGTTTACCATCAAAACAACAGCAACAAAGTCAAGACTACCACACAAATGCAACTAGACTTTTTGCTATGCCTTCCTCTAAGGTGTTCCTATCAGAGAGTCCATCAATTTGATTTAAGATAGGTTCTCACATTGTAGCCTAGCCTGGTCTAGAAATTGTGATCTTTCTGAGTACGAGGAATACAGGTGTACACACCATGCCTGGTTTGTATTCACCAATTCTGATCCCTTAGAAAGCACAGCTCAACAGCTCTTTCTTTCTATGATGGCATGAACCACTTTTCTGTTTTGTTTTTTTTTTAATTTATACATTTATTGATATTGTGTGTGTGTGTGTGTGTGTGTGAGAGAGAGAGAGAGAGAGAGAGAGAGAGAGAGAGAGAGAGAGAGAGAGAGAGAGCGCGCGCACATATAGAAGTTAGAGGACAATTTATGACAGTTGCTTCTCTCCTTCTACCCTATGAGGTCTAGGAATTGAACTCAGGTCTCCAGGCCTGTGGTAAGCGCCATTAACTCTGGAGCCATCTCACCAGGTAGGCTTGAACCATTTCTTTTCTTTCTTTTTTTTTTTTTTTTGGTTTTTCGAGACAGGGTTTTTCTGTGTAGTCCTGGCTGTCCTGGAACTCACTCTGTAGAACAGGCTGGCCTCGAACTCGGAAATCTGCCTGCCTCTGCCTCCCAAGTGCTGGGATTAAAGGCGTGTGCCACCACCGCCCGGCTGGCTTGAACCATTTCTAGGGAGCAACCTTAACTCATCCAGTGCTTCCCAGTAGCAATGAAATTCAAAGAGGAAAAAGACATCTGTCAAACATTTGAAAGAGAACACTGAGTGGGTCTTGGGTCTACAGGTGGCAACAACAGATTAGACCAAGAGCAAGTGACTGGCAACCCCCTGCAGAGGACATCAAGACAGAAGTACAGCATAGCACAGGGAATCCTACTGCCACCTGCAACAGCCTCTTAACACCCTGCCCCTAAAGCTACTAACTCCAGTTTTCCCAGGGAAAGGAACTGGCAACACCAGTCATTGCCAATCTAGTTCAGACTTCATAGTCCCCTGCAGATTGGGAACTCCCCATTCTCTCTTCTGGAAAAGTACATTGGCTTTAGTTGAGCATGCCAGCATAGGCCTGTAATCCCAGTAAAAGGGAAGATTGCCATTAATTTTAAGACCAGCCAGGATGACTTATGAGAACATGTCACAAAAACATTAAAAAGGAAGAAGAAAAGAAAGAAAGGAAGGAAGGAAGGGAGGGAGGGAGGGAGGCTGGATGTGGGTGCACACCTTTAATCCCAGCACTTGGGAAGCAAAGGTAGGCGGATCCCTGTGACGTCGATGCCAGCCTGGTTTGCAGAGTGAGTGAGTTCCAAAACAGTCAGGATTACACAGAGAAACTCTGTCTCAAAAAAACAAAAACAAAGAAAAAAAAAAGAAGAGAAAATAAAGAGAGAAAGCAAGCAAGCAAGGGCAAGGCTATGGTCTTCAGTTGTGGTAGTTTCTTTGCGCTAGCAAACAACTCTTTAAGTGTTTCAGTTTTACCATCATCCCCACAATTCTTGTCACAGTGAGGGAAGGATGCCTCCTATTAACAGGCAAACAAACCAGAAGGCCTCAGCTCCTGCTGCAGCCACTAACACTAGTCTTTGCATTATTTTTCTAAGGCAGGTATCAGGTTCCATAGACCTTATTCCCTGTGGTAAGCCTAGCACCTAAACACTGAAAGTGCAGCTTTAATGAAGGCCTGGCTATCTTTGTAGTGTCTACTCCAGCTCAGAGCCTTCTACCCACAGACACACAAACCTGGTCCATGATTTTATTTTTGTTAGGTAACTAGTTGTCACCTATAGATCATATCTAAAATTCTTACATCATGTCTCCTATAGGACTAAGATCATTGTAATCATTAGTGCGCCCAGACTTATAGCCTACTGTTCAAGATGCAGCAGTAGGTACCGAGAGTACAGAGTAAAACTGACCCAATGAGGAGCAGAAATCAACACCAACCGCATGGGCTAAGTTTACCTGCACTCCAGGGCCTTTGGTTCCTCCATCCTTAAGCCATGTATCTGCATTAATTCCTGAGAATTTTCTACATTGAAATTAAGAAACTGCAGGTCACTCTGCTGTTTTACATAAATCTGCCAGAGATATCAACAAATCAATACAATAAAAACCAAACCAAACTGAATCAATAGTCGGCACTTTGAAATCCTAAAACAGACCAGACAGTTTGCTTTGCTGTTTCCTATGGTTCCAACAGGATATTTCCATACATCTCATCTCCTAACCACTAATTCCCACAGCCAAGACTATCTGCTGTGCTTAAATACGACATCTGGTTGATGTAGTGAACATCTAGAAGGCACCATTAACAAAACCAACAGGTATTGGGCAGTAGTGGTGCATACCTTTAGTCTCAGCACTGGGGAGGCAGAGGCAGGGCAGAGGCAGGAGATTCTCTGAGGTCCAGGCCAGCACATCTACAAAGCAGTTTCCAGGGAAACTCTGACTCAAACACACACACACAAACACAAACATGAAACCCCCACAAAATCCACAAGCAGATGGCTTCCTAATTCCCAAATATTTTCTACCTGCAGTTACAGTGTACAGCTGGGACATACCTGTCTCAGATTGTGCAGCTCTGAATTTGTACGATCTTGCTTTGACTTTGCAATATCAAGTAATTCATCTTTCCTCTTTTCTCTCTCTACTGTATAAGAAAAAAAATGATTGGCTTTTTTTAATCCGCAATATCAACACGTCTTTCAAGTTCTAACAACTTAACAACTAATACTTTTGTTGTCATTCTTAAAACTGCAGAATGACTGGTAAAAGCTTTAATCTGTGACTCTGACTGGATCCTTCATAAAACAAGAAAATGCACAATATAAACTAATGTTAAGTCAAAAGGATTTAAAGTATATGCATGTGCTTATAAGAAAAAATGCATACAATAAACATAAAAGCAAGCCAGGCACAGGGGCACACATCTGTAAATCCATCACTTGGGAGTTGGAGGTGAGAAACTCAAGAGTTCAAGGGTAGCCTGGGTTACATGAGATCCTAACTCAAAACAACAACAACAATCAAAACCAAAGCCTGAAAGCAAGTATTGAGAAATAGTTGCAACTCACTGAGAAGGGTCCCTCTATTAGGTTAGCCTTGAACTTATGATCCTCTTGAAGCCTCTAGATGTTGGGATTGTGGTATACTATCTCCCCTGGCTAAGGATTCATTTTTATTTTTAAAGATTTAACCATTTCAATTATATATATGTGAGTGCCTGCATATATATATATGTGTGTGTGTGTGTGTGTGCGCGCGCGCGTGCACTACACACCTGCCCTCAAAAGAGATCACCAGACCCCTTGGACATTTGCAAGCTGTCAGCAACCACATGAGTGCTTGTAATTGAATCCAGATTCTCTGGAAGTATAGTCAGTGCCCCTAACTGCTGAGCCATCTCTCCAGTCCTATGAATTTTGTTTTAAACAAGTTGAGTTTGGTCACATGTACTTGTGATCCTAGCTACTCTAGAGTCTGACACTGGAAAATCATTTGAAGTCAAGAGTTAGAGAACAGCCTTGGCAACATAGAAGGACCTTACTTAATACATTACAAATATATAAAAAGAAGTTAATTTTAGGCCAAGCAGTGGTGGCACACGCCTTTAATCCCAGCACTTGGGAGGCAGAGGCAAGCAGATTTCTGAGTTCGAGGCCAGCCTGGTCTACAGAGTGAGTTCCAGGACAGCCAGGACTGCACAGAGAAACCCTGTCTCAAAAAAAAAAAAAAAGTTATTTTTAGGAGATGGGGACATGGCTCAGAGGTAGAGCGTGCTTAATCAGCACACGGAAGGTCTTAGGTGTGATCCCTAGCACCAGCACTATAAGAAAAAGCAGTACAGACAAAGAAGGTCTATACAGGTATAAAGCAAGGTACTATCTCACACATTAGCAGTGTACGTAAGAACTGATCTGAACTGGACAGTGGTGGCACACACCTTTAATCCCAGCACTTCGTAGGCAGAGGCAAGGGGATCTCTGTGTGTTTGAGGCCTACTGAGTGGGTTGCAGGACAGCCAGGACATACAGAGAAACCCTGTTTCTCAAAAACAAACAAACAAGAACTGATTTTATTACCACAGCTCCATCAGCAATAAATGTTTCACTTAAAAAAATCAATACCAAGAAATGAAATTATTATTTGGTATTTGTCTTAGTTACTTAATAATTAGTAGTTAGTCAGTTATTTTCTGTTGCTGTGAAGAGTCAACTTTTAGAAGAAAGTTTATTAGGGTCTTACAATTCCAGAGAGCTAGGGTCTATCATGGTGGGGAGCATGGCAGCAGCTGAGAACACATATTTTTATCCACAAGTAAGAGGTAGAGAAAGGGCTGGGCCAGTGGTTAAGGGTGCTTACTGTTCTTCATCTTCTGGACTCCAGAGAACTGCAATCACACACACACACACACACACACACACACACACACACACACACACACAATTTAAAATTAAAAATAGAATCTTAAAAGGCACCTGGTCAGTGGTAGCACACATCTTTAGTCCAGGCACTCAGAAGGCAGATGCAGGTAGATCGCTGAGTTCAGGGTCAGCCTGGTCTACAGAGCAAGTCCCAGAAGAGCCAGGGCTACACAGAAAGACTCTTGTCTTAGGCTGGAGAGATGGCTCAGCAGTTAAGAACACTGACTGCTCTTCTGGAGGTCCTGAGTTCAATTCCCAGCAACCACATGGTGGTTCACAACCATCTGTAATGGGATCCGATGCCTTCTTTTGGTGTGTCTAAGACAGCTACAGTGTACTCACATGAAATAAATAAATAAATCTTTAAAAAAAAAGAAAGAAAATTCTTGTTTTGAAAAAGCAAAATAAATAAAGGAAAGAAGGAAGAAGGAAGGAGGAAGGAAGGCAGAAAGAAGGAAGGAGAGAGGGAAGGAGGAAGGGAGAGAAGGAAGGAAGGAAGGAGGGAGGGAGGAAAGAAGGAAACAGCAGCAGCAGAAGCAGCACACAGAGAGTTCACTAGGAATGACATGAGCTTTTCAAACCTCAAAGCCAGCTTTGTGCAGTGGCAGTATCGTACCCAATGAGGTTTACCCTAGGTGTGATTATTGCTAATTGAAACCTCAAAGCCTATCCCCAATGACACATTTCCTCCAACAAGGCCGTATATTCTAATCTTTTCTAAACAGTTCCACCAACTGGGCACCAAGTATAAGAACATACAGGCCTATGGGCATATTCTCACTTAAACTACAATACTAGTGAACATTGTATGTGTGTGTTAAATTAAGACATTGTGCTTCATGAATATATAGCTTTCCTATTCCTGTTATCAGTGGTGCTAAGCTATCACATCTAGGCCTGCAGAATGCTAGCAAAGTGGTCTAATACTGAGCTACATTTCTAGGCAATAAGCTAAATTATAACTCAATTAAAATAAATCTTTGGAGGCTGACGAGATGGCTCAGTGGTTAAGGGTCCTGGCTACTCTTAAAAGAGGACCTCGTTCGTTTGTAGCACCCACATGAGAGACTATAATCATCTGTGACTCCAGGTCCAGGGATCTGATTCCGATTCTGGTCTCCTTAGTCACTGGGCACACAGAGCACAGATATACAAGTAGGCAAACACTCACACATTTTTTAAAAAGATAAAATTACAAACTTTAGAAGCTGGTGTGCTAGTGTATACCTATATTCCCAACACTTGGGAGGTAGAAGTAAGAGGATCAGGAGTTCAAAGCTTCCCCTGGCCACATAAGACCCTGACTCAAAACAAACAAAAAAGACACAATTATCAAGCAAAGACCCAAATTTACCATTGGTTTTGATCTTTGTGTCATTGGTGGTTGGGACTTACTCCTATTTGTCTATCAGTGTGTGAGTGTGCACGCGATGCTTGGACAGCACAGCAGGCAGCAGGGCCGTCCTCCTCCAGCACTTCCCACCTACTTCCTAATGATTCTTTTCAAGGGAAAATAAAATTACATCCTTTCCCCCTTTCCCTTTCCTCCCTCCAATCCCTCCCATATATCCCTCTTGCTCTCTTTCAATGTGTGTGTGTGTGTGTGTGTGTGTGTGTACAACCTGCTCAGTCAATAGACTGTGACTTGGCCATATATGATTTCAAGGCTGACCACTTGATGTTGGATAGCCAACTGGGGTCTCTTCCCAGGGGTCCACCTGAACTTTTTTAAGTAGCAAATAATTTTCTGACTTATTGTGTTTATTTATTTTTAATGTAATTGCAGGCACACATGTACTATGGTATACTTACAGAAGACAGAAGATTTGAGACTTAGGTCTCTTCTTCCACAATGTGGGCCTAAGGAATTAAACTCAGTTCATCAGCCTTGACAGCAAACATTTCACTCGCTGAACCATCTTGCCAGCCTATATTTCTTTCTTTACACACAGTGTTATGCATGTGGAAGTCAGAGAGCAACTTCAAGAGTCAGTTCTCTCCTTCTACCACATAGGTCTCAAGGACTGAACTCAGAGCCTCAGGCTTGGCAGCACATGCTTTTCCTGGATGAACCATCTCTAAAGCCTACTCTTCATCTACTTCTGTAAGACAAAGTCTCTCCCTGAATCTCGTTTAATCTGTCTAGCCAGGCTAAAACCCAGTAAGCTTGAAGGATCTTCCTGTCTGTTACCCTTAGAGCTGGGTAATTTCAGGGATACCTGGGTTGGTGCTAGGTGCTGGGATCCATCTGGTCCTCTGGATTACAAAGCAAATATTCTTAACCACTGAGCTACCTCCCCATCTCCACTGTTTGAAACAGGTTCCTGCATAATTCAGGCTGGCCTTGACTACCTCATGGGCCTTATGTAGGCCTTGAGCTCCTGATCCTTCCACCTCTATATCTCGATGGCTGAGATTACAGGCAAATGCCACTATACCCAGCTTAATGCTGCATTTTAGGATAACCTCCTGTTGCATCAAAAGCAATTCTAACATAAATAGCCATGTTTCTTTAGCAGTGGTATGCAAAGCTGCACAGAGGAGGGATCAGAGTGGAGTGGGTCTGTCTATTTCTACAGGTTGGTTCCAGAATCCAAAGAGTTTCTGTAAAGTTGTGCTATTAGCTCTTCCTGAACACAAGACAGCATGGAGGAAGGTACTCTGGGGTGTCTGAGTCTGGCTGAGGCTCCGCCTTTTATGGACTGTAGGCTGAGGTAGGATTTAATGGGACTAGCCTCCATTCCCAGCAGTCAAGGCACACTAAAATCATCTTTGCAAACTCCTAATGACCATATGGTACACAGAAATGAAACACTGTCTCTAAGCCTATGTGAAGAACTTTATCTTCAACAAGAAAAAATAAATTTTTGAACTTGAAAGTAAAACTTTAGAACAACTTCCAATTTGGAATAAAACATGTCAAGTTTCTGCCATAGTTCCTCAATAGAACATGATAGCATTGTTACACATTAAGCCTTTCCCAATACTTTCTTACTCCATTCACTTTTGTTTCACTGAATACTGAATCTAGGGTCTAGTGTATTCTAGGCAAGCAGGCACTCAGCCACAGAGCCACATACATACCTTCAATTCGTATTCATTTACTTAATTCTGTATTTATTTTATACGTACTCAGAGCCTTGAGCATGCTAGGCTAGGGCTTTCCCACTGAACTACATCCCTGGCCCTCACTTTTTTTCTTCTCTTTTTAATTTAGGGTCTTACATAATCCAGGCTGGCCTCGAACTGACTCTAACAACTGAGGCTGACCTTGCCATCTTGATCCTTCTGGGATTGCAGGTATCTACCTATATCACCACACACACAACTTGGTTTTTCATTGTTTTATTGTTGTTTTTTGAGACTGGGTCTCATTATATAGCTCTGGTTTCCTGGAACTCATTATCTAGACTAGGCTGGCCCCAAATTCACATAGCTCCACCTGCCTCTGCCTGCTAGGATTAAATGTGTATGCACTACAGCAGCTACACCTTGGTTCTGTGGTGCTGAGGAATAAACCCAAAGTACAACAGGCAAACCCTCTACCAAATGAACTACATCCTCACCCCTTTGACTCACTTTTATAATTAAAACATATAAAAACTGGCCAGGCAGTGGTAGCACATGCCTTCAACCCCAGCACTCAGGAGGCAGAGGCAGGAGGATCGCTGTGAGTTTGAGGCCAGGTTGGTCTACAAAGTAAATTCCAGGCCAATTAAGGCTACACAGAAAAACTCTGTCTCAAAAAGCAAAACAAAACAAAAAATAAACAAAAAACAACAACAAAAACCAAACCAAAAAATTGTTTTTGAAACAATGATGTATGACTGTCTTCAACAGAAAGACGATTAGTTGAGGAAATGTCTTTAAAAGTTATTTCTAAAATGGGTTACAGTTTTATTTAGCAAGTCTCATATTTTACAAACCAAGGAGACTTTTATATCTATGAATCAAGGGTGGGCTGGTGTGACGGTCCACATCTCTAAGTCTCAGTTCAAGACCAAATTGGAAGCTGATGGTATAAAGTAGCCTGTCCACTAGACCATGTCTTCTGACTTCCCATGCAGTGTCGTGTGTATGCATGTTGTGTGCATGTATCTTACTGTACTATGCAGGTAGTTGAAGACTTACATGACACTGACCTTTGGCAATATACCTCAGAACACACTAGAGGAAAATCAATCAATGTTTTCATAGCTTTGCTTAGTCCTAACTCTCTGTGGCCTGTAAGTGTCTAGGCTTTAGTGGACTCACATATATGCAACCGTAAAGCTGCAAGCACACTGTACATGTAGTTACACGGAAGACAGAAATCCTAGAAATAACGAACACAGTGACCTCTCGTGGTGAAACTGGTAATCCTTAAACGGGAGACTAAAATGAAGGATTCTACTGTATTTAAAACTTCTAAAGATAACACTGTATTTTCCTTAACTCTTACTCTGTAGGAATTTATTCTCTTCTTAAAATGAAGGGGATTGAAGAGATGAAGGACTGAACCAAAAAATGTTCAGCTAATTTTCTCTTTGAAAATTTCCCTCTAAATCTATGATTTTCCTAACACCGTGGCTGACATGAGAGCCTAGGGAAGTCTTGGCAAGCAGGGGGGTAAATAGTGTCTACAGTGAGGAGGAGAAGTGTCCACAGTGAGGAGGGTAAACAGTGTCCACAGTGAGGAGGGGAGGAGTGTCCACAGTGAGGAGGGTAAACAGTGTCCACAGTGAGGAGGGTAAACAGTGTCCACAGTGAGGAGGGGAGGAGTGTCCACAGTGAGGAGGGGAGGAGTGTCCACAGTGAGGAGGGGAGGAGTGTCCACAGTGAGGAGGGGAGGGCTTCATCAGTCAACGTCTGAGGTGGGAGAGGCAGGGGCAGTGCCGGGGAATGTGCTGTGAGATGGGAAGGCTTGGGACGACTGCACATGACACTAATAAGGAAAATTCATACCTAGCTTCTTACTCTGGTTACACCAGTACAACCATACACAAGTGTTTTCCTAACTTACTGACCATAGGTAATTAATTTGCAAAACTGGATGCTGAATTCCTAAAGTTTTAAGTGCCAGAGCCCAAGTCTAGTGCTAGGTAAGTATTATACACTTTAGGTTATGCTCTGGCCCTTTGAACTCCTAGTTGTTCACTTAGTATCTGTGAAATTATAAATGCTCTCCCCTCATCAATCCATAAGATTCTTTTAAAATAACATTACTTCTGATCCTTCTGCCTCTGCCTCCCAAATTCTGGGATTAAAAATTATATACCACCAGGTCCAACGGCTGCTGCTGGGGATTGAACCCAGGGCTTAGCTTGTTGGGTAGGCACTTCACCAGCTGAGCTACACTCCTACCCTAACATTAACTTTCCAGCAGGAATATTTTGTTTTTTTTATTGAGAAGGATAATGATCCATTCAAGCTGTATAAGAATGTAGTTCCACTTCACAGGAAAAAGAAAAAGTATCTACTTGGAAGAGAATAAAAATATTAAAACTCAGACCCAGTCCCTTACCAATTCTTCAAAAGACAGGGGCAAAATACTCAAAAGTCTATTTTGAAGGGGGTGTACATCTTTTAGCCTATAACAAAAAGATAAAGTTACAAACATGCAACTATTCAAATACTTCAATCTAATTCTTTTACCAGTAAAAATTAATTCATCGTGCAGACAACTTTTCTCTTGCTTGAGCCGAATGATCTCCTCTCGTTGTTCGTTGTTTTCTGTTGTCTTCTCATTTAGATCCTCTTCACAGACAGAAGGAAGAAAAATCCTCAAGTAAATACCAGCCTCCTAGGAAACACAGACACTACACAAAACAATCCATGTCCTCGGCAGCTTCTGAGGACCCTGCCAGGTCTACAGTCAATACATGCTGGGCCATTCACCATCTCTGCTATAACCCAAGGGACACAGAGCAATCCTTAAAATAAAAACGCCTTGTGTCAACTCTTGGCAAGGAGCCCTCCTTGCTCTTCTCAGGATGAACCCCAAATTCTTTACTGCAAACAGCAAGGCCCACAGTGACATCACCCTCCCTGCTCCCTTCCATTGCCCCCTTTTTCTCTTAGTTCCTTGACTGCCTCTGGGATAAAGAAGACATGATTTGGGTTTTGTTTTCCATTCTTGGGGACGAGCTTCTGCATCTCTTAGAACTCAGGCTTCGCTTTGGAGAGGACCTAGCTCTACACATGGAGCACTTCCACCGGCATTCACTTTGGAGAGGACCTAGCTCTACACATGGAGCACTTCCACCGGCAGCTTGAGTTTCTGAAGAAACAGCAAAGTGCTTCCCTGAGCTTCCAGAATCTTCCAGCAAATGACAGAGGCTGTTCAGGAGGTTGTGAAAACCCTAACTTAGCGCCAGTCCAGTTGGTTAGTGAGAAGTCTGTGAGGCTCCCCTGGATTTCAGACTGGTGTCTTAATGGGAATAGTCTCATGGGACATGAACCTGTAGGATCTGTCACTAACTCATTGTACATAGATTGTATCAAAAGCATCAAACTGAATTGTCTGTGCACCTAATTCATAGAAGAATTTCCAAGAAGGAAACAAACAAACCCAGAATGTCCCCACTTAATGTCCAGTCTAGGCCTTCTGCATTTGTTCTTCCTGTTTTCTGCCTAGAAGGTTCTCAGTCAGGTTCTGGCTAGTTCTGTCTACAGTCTAGTCATAGCTCAAATGCTAACTCTTCATATTTACTTTCTCAGTCAACCTGAACTAAACAAGTTTCTCTCCCTTGTTCTCTGTTCTATTTCCCATTACTCTACTTTTAAAATGTCTTAAATAAGGCTGGAAGGGTGGCCCCGCAGTTAGGAGAACTGACTGCTCTTCCAGAGGTCCTGACTTCAATTCCCAGCACCCACAGTGTAGCGCACAACCATCTGTAATTGGATGTGATGCCCTCTTCTGGTGTGTCTGAAGATGGAATACATAAAATATATCTTTTTTTAAAAAAAAAATAAATACTGGGTTAAGTACTGACACAACAGACTTATACTTGAACATCTTACTTGGCCCACACACACACTCAATGAACACTAATGAACCAGTGTCTGACCTACTGTTGTTGCCATGCTGACCCAAAGACAAAGAGACACAATTTGCCCCACTACTGTCATGAGGCTTATGAAATGATGGCTTTAGCTGACATAAATGGAGACAGGACTTGAGACCATTAGTGAAGGCATAGTAAGCCCAAGGTTGTAAAAATGCTTCGTCATTTACATTAAATTGATCAAGATAAAAATTTCAGATCTAGGGGGTATGGTTGAGACAGAGTCACATATAGCCGAGGTTGGGCTTTAAAATCTTTGTGTAGTGGAGGATGACTTTGAACTAATGACCCTCTATCTACCCTGTATGTGCTGGCACCTGTACTACTATGCCAGGCTCAATCTCAGAGCCTCTTAGTTAAGGCAGTTGGGAATAGACGACAATCCTCTCCACATTCTGCTCATGCTTGAAGCAGAACTGGTCTGACGAGAACCTGGCTGGGCCTAGGCTAAAACAACCAACTTATCTGGACCAACCCCAGTGACTTACACTGCTGCTGTTCATTACACAGCATGTATCAGCAGCAGCTACCTGATACAGACAAGTGAACTAAGCCAGGATTCTAATAAACATATGATCCAGGGTTAGAGATTTTATAAGTATAAGGCCCCAGGTTCAGTCCTCAGCTCTATCCACAATTTTGTTATCTTATATCACAACATGTGTGACATTCACTCTATATAAATGAGACAGACATCGGATGTCAGGACCTACAGGCAGTCTAAGACTAAGGGAACTCAGATACAGAACTCAATTGCAGACAATGCACTACTATCTTCAATTGTCATGTCCTTACCTTTCAGTTTATTGACTTCAATCCTAAGTGCTTTCAATTTCTGCTTATAATCTTGCTTTTCTTTCACAACACAAGTCTCTGTCATCTTAGCATCACGTAAAGCATGCTCTAACAATTTAAATTTACCCGAACAGTCTGAGATGTGATTGACTGCCTCAATAATATCTTTGTCCTAAAAACCAAGGGAAAAACAGTTAGGCCATATTTTAAATTCCAACTAATCAGTAAGGTCGTTATGCTTAGAGTGCACTGTGCAGTGAGTTCATTTCTTAACACCTTTCAGGTTAACTCAGTTGCTGTAACTTTATGCTAGCACCAAGTGACAAAGGAGTTAGCAGACACAGAAGGAATTCTTCTCTAACCATGGCACTCAAACAGCCATTTCACAGTTTAGTTGGCTGGCTTGTGAACCTATGTGCTTGTCAACACCTTACTTTTTCTTAAAAAGTTGAAAATCAGGTAATTTTTTTTTTTTTTAGACAAGCTCTCTTTACATAGCCCTAGATATCCTGGAACTCGATATAAAGACTGGGCTAGCCTCAAACTCAAAGATCCACCTGCCTCTGCTTCCTAGTGCTGAGATTAAAGGCATGCACCACCACATCCAGTAAGAATCAGATAACTTGATGGCCAGGCTACATTGTTCAGCAAATAAGTCAGCAGCTCTTAGATGGGGATATTACTCCCTGGATCTCAGGTAAGTCTGCAGGGCCCATACTTCCTACCTACTTTCACTTGTTAAAAGGATAAACAGATTCTTAGGACCTCGTTCAACCAACATGCTGAGTTAAAAGCTTCTGTGGTTGAAACTGTTTCAAAGTATAAAAACAGCATCTGCTGAAAAGCAATTCTAACCATAACTAGACACAACAATAAGTGGCTGGCGAAGAAGCTTAGTGGAAGAGCACTTGCCTAGCATGTGTGTGGTCCCAGGCTCAATCCTTAGTCTCAGGGACACTAGCTGACATACCATGATAAACAGGTGTACCTTCCTGAGCACCCCCATCACTATAGCAGCACCAAACATGCATTTTGGGGAAAAAAACCAAACAAACAAAAACCCCTTACGAACTCAGTGGGCTTATGGGGAGTTAAAGGGTTGGGGAAAACCACGTAGTAGCCACTGGAAGTCTGGGCAATGAATCTCAGCATTCTGGAGGCTGAGAGAATCAATGAGTCCTAGGCTAGCCTGGACTACATTACAAGTTTCAGGCTAGCAGACAAAATAAAACAAAAGCAAAACCTGGGGAAGGGCTAAGGATGTATCTCAGTGGTAAAGTGTTTACTTAGCATGCAAAAGGCCCTGGGTTCAGCCCCCAGCACCACAAATAAGCAAATTTGTTTTATTAAAGAAAACAATAAGCCAAACAGCAAAAACTGGTGACTAGACCAGTTTAAAAATAATGAGCAGTTAAGCCAATTACAAGAGATAATTTCTTCAATTGATGTCAGCCTTAAACAAAGAGCTTAGGAGTTCCTTACTCTGTCTTTCTAAGTATATCCTAATAAGCATGTGCTTTTAGCAAAGACCATTTTCCTCAAAACAGAACTCTGACGATGGGAATTCTGCCTCTATGAATGCACTGTCCTAACATAGAGGAAGCATCTTCATCAGAGCAAGCTCTGCCAGTGCTGTGGTGACAACTATTTTAACTAAAGCTAACTCTACACATTTTAGCATTTTCTCTTTAATTTTCAGAATCCTTACTTATGATCATATCCCAATGTTAATGTCAGGAAGTCAATGGCACGCATCTGCAACTTCACCAACATCTCCCCCTGCTTAGCAACTACCAAAGGCGCATGAGGCAGAGGAGCATTCTCATTCATTCTCTCTCTCTCTCTCTCTCTCTCTCTCTCTCTCTCTCTCTCTCTCTTTCTCTCTCTCTCTCTCTCTCTCTCTCTCTTTCTCTCTCTCTGAGGAGTCCACACTTCACACTCTACCAGTGTTTGACAGCTTCCAGTTTTCCTCTTTTTTCATTTGGTTTTTCAAGACAGAGTTTTCTCTGTGTAGTCCTGGCTATTCTGGAACTCCATCTGTAGACCAGGCTGGCCTCAAACTCACACACATCCTCCTGCCTCTGCCTCCAGAGTGCTGGCATTAAAGGTGTGCATTACCACTACCCAGCTTCCTCCTGTTTTAATAACAGACTAACAAGCACCTGATGGCCAGTATCTTCAGGAGAACTGCCACAGATACCCGGGAACGGTTCACTGAAACAGTCCAGAGGCTCTGGGAACACTGTGTAAGGCTGTTCCTTTCATCTCTGTGTTCTGGGCTGCTAAGGACTCAGGGGAGGATGGCGTGTGTGGGTGAGCTCCGCAGGCTGCAGAGTGCTCTGAGGTGGATGTATGCCATTTCAATTACCTTTAGCTTTATCATGGTAGTGAGAGCCTGTTCTCTAGCTTGCAATTGTCCTACCTGAGCAGAAAGGTCCACTAACGTGCTGCTGAGATTTTCATTTCTAGCCTACAAGAGAACAACACAGAAAACACTGAGTCTGTTAACACTTCCATTGGGCTACCAACCACAGTCAACACTCATTTTCTGGTTTTGTTTTTTTTAATTTAACATTTTTCAGGAACAATATAGGTGAAATAACAATCATCAAAAAGGAATGCAAATGCCTATTCCTCTATTAGTTCTAGCTTCCTCTCAATACTTAGCAGTTGTTCTAACTTGTACTGATTTATATAGGTTATATTTATAAACATTTCTTTTTAAGTAAAATCATTTTGTTTTAATTAATACACAAATAAAACATCACACAGCTTCTTAAAGAAGAAGTTACTCATTTCCAGACAGAGTTCGTCTGGGCAGTCCTGTCTATCCTGGAACTCACACTGTAGACTAGGCTGGCTTCTAATTCACAGAGCTCCGTCTGCCTCTGCCTCCCGGGTACTGATGTTAGAAGCATGCACCACCACACCTGGCTGCACATCTTTTTTAACATCTAGGCTAAAAATCTTTACACTGGGTTTGGCTCAATATGCCACTATACATTTGCCCAAATCTTATAGAAAGTAAAACACAAAACATGAGCCATTACAAAAACTGGACTTGGGGTGATAAGGATGAGCCCACATGCATTCGCCAGTTACAATGAATAGACCACCATGATGCAGTGCCTCAGAAGTGGGGGTGCCGTGTGTGTGGATACAGCAGGCACTGGAACTCTGTACTTCCCACTCATTTTTCCTAAAACTGCTCTTAGCTGAGCAGAATGGCACACACTGTAACTATCACATTCAGAAGGCTAAGGCAGAAGGATTAAAAGTTTTGAGAACTGCCTAGGCTGCATAGTCTATAAGAAGGAAGGAAGAATGGAAGGAAGGAAGGAGAAAGGAAGGAAGGAGGAAGAAAGAAAGAAAGAAAGAAAGAAAGAAAGAAAGAAAGAAAGAAAGAAAGAAAGGAAGGAAGAAAGAAAGAAAAAAGAAAGGAAAAACCTGAAAACCCAACTTTGCCAATTTTATCGCAGATGTGTTCCTAGCTTTGGTATGGGTATGTTGATCATATCAGACAAGACCTTAGGTTAATCTCAGTACCTCAGAGGCTGAGACTGGAGGACTGCAGCTTCAGCACTAGCTAGAGGACACTTAGGGAGGCATGTTTCAAAATAAAAAATTTTTTAAAAAAGTTCTGAGAATGTAAACCATTTGTATCATCAAGGCCCTGGGTTTAATCTCCACTACAGGAGAAGAGGGGAAGGGAGGGGCGATGGGACCAGAGGAGGGATGAGACAGGCAAAGGGAATTGGAGGGATTCAGAATCTGGAAAGCCATATTTGAAGCTACCAAAACATGAAGGTTCTTATTTCAGAAAGAAAAAGGTTTTCTGAAATAATCCAAGTTGTTAAAATGGGCAATGCTTCTAAACCAAACAGCAAACCTCTTTACGTTCATGGACTGTGATGACACTTCATCACAGCACAGAACAACACAGTGCAGCTGTGCAGGAAGCAGGGAGAACTCAGAACTAAGATGGGCAGACACCCACACTTCAGGCTCCATACGCACACATCTGCTTTTAATGATGACATTTGAAGTTAATTTTTCTGTAACTGAAACCCAGAACTTGGACTAATAAAGTTCATCAAAAATTAAAACCAACCTCAAGGTCTTCTGAGAGGAGGGCAGAATGTGTAGCCTTTTGAGCCATTTCCTGAAGCTGATGCTGAGTCTTCTGAAGAGCTGTCTGACATTCTGTTTGATTAGATTCAAGGGTTTTGACCTTCTTCATGAGTGACTTGATTATGTCAGTTCTTTTATGCAGCTCACCTGAGGGAAATTTCAGTCACTGTGTCTGTACTGAGACGCAATAAGCAGCATTTTCAAGATCAGTGATTATGAAACAAAGGTCTGATGAATATTTTAAAAACATTTTACTGTGAAATGTACAATACCATATGTATTCCAGAAATAAACACTGGCACCAACCAGAAGTCACCTTCCGAAACATAAACTGTTAATTTCCACTTTCCAAGCCACTGCTTGGATCTTAGAATAATCACTTCCTGTTGCCCACCCACTCCCCATGCTAAGGATGGTAGGCCAGGCACCTGCCCACCATCGTTGCATTTTACTATCACTGTTCTCCCACTTATCTCTGTGTCTACCCCTAAAGTATAATCTGACCCATATACAAGTGGAATTATACTCAGGAGTAGGTCTTGTCACTTGTAAGATCCTGAGAGCCACCAAAGTTGTAACTTGTGTTTATCACTAACACTGCTACATGACAGTCTATTAAATTATAACAGCAGCATGTATGTATCTGCTCTCCTCTTGGTGATTATCTAGGCTGTGCCCACTTTGCAGCTTTTAAATAGTGCTGCTCTGAATATCCTCTTACGTGTAACTTGGGGTATTTCTGCTTTGCTGCTCAAAATGTGGTCCTTAAACCTGCAGCACTAGTATCATTAAGGATACTGCTAGAAATGCAGAGCTCTGATCCAGGCATGGCAGCGCGCATATCTCCCAGCACTAGGTCGGTGAAAACAGTAAGATTAGGGGTTCAAGATCATCCTTTGCTACAAAGAAAGTCTAAAACTGGCCTAAATGGCAGAATACTCTATCTCAAAATTAAAAATAAATGAAAGACAAAGTGTTCTCCTTGTCTTTGAGGGCACCAGGCACATATATGGTGCACATACATAAATCTAGGCAAAGCACTCACGCTACAAAGTGAGTTCCAGGACAGCCAGGGCTACACAGAGAACTCTTGTCTCCTGCCTACCCCTTCCCCCAAAAAAAGAGGATAGGGATATGGGATTCAAAGCACTGGCTGCTCTTCCTGAGACCCAAATTTGAGTTCCATTAGCTACATGGTTGTTTTCAATCTTAACTCCAGTCCCAGGGAATCCAGTGCCCTCTTCTGGCATCTGAATACATTGCATGTATGTGGTGTATAGACAAAACAATGAAGGCAAAACCCCCCATACACATTTTTTTGGTTTTTCAAGACAGGGTTTCTCTGTGTAGCCCTGGCTGTCCTGGAACTCACTCTGTAGACCAGGTTGTCCTCGAACTCAGAAATCTGCCTGCCTCTGCTTCCCAAGTGCAGGGATTACAGGTGTGCGCCACCACCGCCCAGCATAAAAATTTTTTATAAAATGTTTTGTTCTATTTCGTTTTTAAATTAAAAAGGTAGTGGTGTTGTACACCTTTAATCCCAGCACTCATGATGCAAAGGCAGGCAGATCTCTGTAAGTTCCAGGACAGTCTGGTCTATAGAGTGAGTTCTAAGACAGCCAGGGCTACATCGTAAAACCCTGTTTGGAAAAAAAACAAACTAAACCAACAAACAAATAAAATAGCCAAGTAACAAACAAAAACAGCCGGGCAGTGGTGGCGCACGCCTTTAATCCCAGCACTTGGGAGACAGAAGCAGGCGGATTTCTGAGTTCGAGGCCAGCCTGGTCTACAGAGTGAGTTCCAGGACAGCCTGGGCTACAACAGAGAAACCCTGTCTCGAAAAAACAAAAACAAAGAATGCAGACTTTTAATCCTAAATCTATTACATCAGAAGTTACCTAAGTAAGCTTATAGTTGGGGAAGCACTGGGAAGCCTAGGGATGAAACCCAGAACCTCGAGAATATTAAGACGCTTTCCCAGTAAGATAGTTCCTCCAGCCCACAATTTGCATTTAGTAAATTCTTTAGGCAACTGAAGTGAAAATTCCTGAAGGTGGAATGGCTTGACCAGATTAAAATATCTTCCAGCCTTTAGACCCTTTCTTTATAGAATATGTATGTCTCCAACTTCACTAGGTACTGTAAAATGATTTCCCAAAGTAATTGCGGCAACCTACTCCAGCCTCCATGGCTTCCAAGGTCAGATACCAACTATACCAAGGCAGAATGATATAGCTGGCTCCCTTTATCAACACCTGCTATCTTTTGCCAGTCTAGCAAACATAAAATGATCTATCCTTATGGTTTAATTTTTGTTTGCCTAATGACTAATGAAAATGAGAACCGATTTATATATTTACTGGTCATTAAATGTTCCTCTTTCCATGAAAACTTTATTAATTCTCTTGTACATGGTAGAAAAGATTAACAAGGCCCTCTGAAGCAAGCTCCTCCACTGATAATACACACCTGAGGCCAAATCTTCCTTACCTCAAAAACTAGATACTGGTGGTTAGATACAATTTGTGTTATTTAAGTATCTTTATACTACTTTTTTTTTTTTTTTAAAAGACAGAGTCTCAGCAAGATATAGTGGTGCATAACTTTAATCCTAGCACTCTGGAGGCAGAGGCAGGTGGATCTCTGAGTTCAAGGCCAGCCTGGTCTACAAACAAGTTCCAGGACATTCAGGTCTTTTACACAGAGAAACCCTGTCTCAAAAAACCAAAAACTAAAAACCCAGAGGGAAAAAAAAAAAAAAAAGGCAGGGTCTCACTATGTACCCCTAGCTGTCCTGGAACTCACTATGTAGACCTGGCCTCAAACTCATACAGATCCAACACAGATCCATCTGCCCCTACCTCCCCAGTGCTAGAAGTTAAGGCGTGTGCCACCACATCTAGCTGTTTATACAACTTTAAAAAATTTAAATTACATTTATTGTGTTTGTGCATGTGACCTCCCAGTGCATGAGGAGGTCAGGGGACAACTTGCAAGACCTGGTTCTCTCCTTCCACCATGAGGCTCTTGGGGACTGAAGTAAGGTCCTCAGGACTCGCAGCAAGTATCTTCACCATTAAGCCATCTTATAGACTCTATTTATATCACTGTCAATGAGCAATCTTTCCATTTATATTTGAATTTTGTTTTATCTTATCTGGAATTCTGGGACAAGGCTTTATGAGCCCCAGGCTGGCTTCAATTTACGGTACAGCCAAGGATGGTCTTGAACTTCTGGTCATCTGACCTCTCCTGAACAGACTAGCTGTATATGGTGCTGGGATAGTACTCAGTGCTTCAGTCACACTAAGCAAGCAGTTTACCGACAGAGCTACATTCTAAGCACTATTTTACATTTTTTGAAATTGTATTTAGGGGATGGAGGAATGGCTCAGGAGTTAAGACCATTGCTGCTCTTCTAGAGGCCCAATTCCCAACATAATGGTTCCTAAGCATTTGTAACTCCATCTCAGGAGATTCATCACCCTTTTCTGGGCTCCTCTGTCACTGAAAGCATGTGGTGCACAGACATACATACGCTCATACACATGAAATAGTTTTTAAAATTAGTTATTTATTTATATTTATAAGGCTGTATGTGAGAGTCAACTCTCTCTCCCCACTCTGTAGGTACCAGGGACTAGACTCAGGCTGTTAGGCTTAGCAGCAAGCATTATTGTGCCACCCTCCTCTGTTTTAAAATATGATCAAGGTGACTCAGGGCTCTGAGCATTTCCTGCGACTGAACTACACCCACAGCTGTCACTGCATGTTAACACTGTGTTTAACTATAGCTCTGGCCAGCACTTTCCTACATTTGAGTACTCTGCCTCTCTTGTGTCTGTACACTCAAGGTGACTGCTTATAAAGTCCTCCCATCTTCAACAGGACAGAACTCCAGGACATCAGGACCTGTATTCTTTACCTCTTCCTTATGTGCTTTCTTATGAGCCCTCTTAATGTGTCAGCACACAGGCATAAGCACGGGAGCCACACGTTTCTGACCTTCTAATTTGCTGCAGCGTTCCTCCAAAGTCAACACTTTCTGCCGATCCTCTTCCCATGAAAGGAGCTGTCTCTGATGCACGGCAACCATGTCATTGAGCTCTTTATCTCGATCTTTCAATTCTCCAATGAGCAACTGAAGCTCCTTCCGCTGTTTCTCAATAGTGGAATTCTCAACTTCTGATCCGATGTTCTAAACATGGAGGGTGGTTTTGAATCAAGATAAACCCAACCCCACACATCAGCCACAATATACTTTGCAAACAATTACACTCTTTTGTGGCCATCTCTGAATTGTTAAATTGAGTTTTATCCTCTTTTAAGAACAATGTATCACCGGGCAGTGGTGGCACACGCCTTTAATCCCAGCACTTGGGAGGCAGAGGCAGGCAGATTTCTGAGTTCGAGGCCAGCCTGGTCTACAGAGTGAGTTCCAGGACAGCCAGGGCTACACAGAGAAATCCTGCCTCAAACACACACACACACACACACACAAAAGGAAAAAGAAAACAATGTATCAAGTTATATCTGTTTAAAACGAGTTCAAGCCTATCATCACACAGTCTGTCTCTATCATCGTCCATCATACAATACACAGTTTTTAAAGAGTATGACCATTTCCAAAGTTTCTAGCTAACCCCAACACACTCAGCTTTCCCTGCCCTTTGCTGTCAATCTTCCTGTTCTGGTCAACAACGCTCTGCCCTTCTGTGTGCTCCAGGACACCCACGCGTGCACAGAGACATGTGCACATGCACTCCTGTGCACATACCTCCTGTGGCCTTTGTGTGTGTGTGGTGCTGGAGCTCAAACCTGGAGCATTAATGAACATGTGATCTAACTATTGAGTTATATTCCCAACCCTTGGCGTAGAAATTTTGGAGAAATCAAGGAAAGATAAACATGAAATAATTGTTTTTAACAATATTATAGTCAATTCTTATCAAAGAACGGGAATTTTAATCTGTAAGAAAATAATGAAGCTAGATGTGGTGGCACAACTCTTTAGTCCTAGCACTCCAGAGGTGGAGGTAGGTGGATCTTTCCTTACGAGTTCAAGGCCAGTTTAGTCTATACATCAACTTCCAAGCCAGCCAGAACTACAGAGTTAGACCCTGTGGCAGCAACAACAACAAAAATATAAACAAACAAACAAATTAAATTCTAAATATTAACATATGCCTTACTGAAATACATTCAATCTGTCAAGGGTAATTTAGAATTTTTTAAAGATCTATCTATCTATCTATCTATCTATCTATCTATTTATTATGCATATAGTGTTCCGACTGCATGTATGCCCACAGGCCAGAAAAGGTACCAGAACTCATTATAGATGGTGGTGAGCCACCATGTGGTTTGAGGAATTGAACTCAGGACTTCTGGAAGAGCAGTGCCCTTAACCTCTGAGGCATCCAGCCCATATATTTAATATTGTGGCTTGTCATACTCAACATGTATAATTAAAAACAAGGGCAAAGAGAATCCAGAGAACACAGGTTTGATTCTTAGTACCCACATAGCAGCTCAAAACTGTGTGTACTTCTAGTTCCAGGGGATCAGACACCCTCTTTTAGCCTCTTTGAGCACCAGGCACACAAATGGTGTACAGACAGATATACATGCAGGCAAAAACACCTACACATATAAAAGAAAAACTAAATCTTGAAAAGGGTGGGATAGTTCAGGAGACAGAAGTGCTTGCCCTACAGCCTGGCAACATGAGGTCAATGCCCAGAACCCACTAAAAGCTGAAAGAACTTACCCACTCCACAAAGCTGTCCTCTGGTTTCCACATGTACACGTGCTACATCCACATATACACGTCATATGCACACACATAACTTCATGGTGTTGCTTAGCAAGACAAAAATTACCTATAATCTTTTGGTTATTATTATCACTTTGTTTTTGTTTTGTTCTTGAAACCCTAGCTGTCCTAGAACTTCTTCTGTTGACCAAGCTGGCCTTGAACTCAAAGAGGTCCGCCTGCCTTTGTCTCCCAAGGACTGAGATTAAAGGCATGTACCACTGCCACCTGGCTGTGACTGACCATTTTAAAGTCTGGTGTATGTCAGATCCTAGCAACCTGATGCTGGAGTTGGCCACTTAGTGGTTATATAAACTTAATCAAGTTACTTAGCATCTCTTACTCAGTTTCTTTACCTGTAAAATGGCAACAGCAATACTCTTAGACAAATGTTCTATCACTGAGGAATATCTACAGTGTTTTTTAATTATTATTACTTTTGTGTATGGGTGTTTTACTGTATGTATATTTGTGTATCACTTGCATGCTTGGTGCCTGTGGAGGTCAGAAGGTGCTCTCAGAGCTGCTGACATTTACGAGTCACTATATGGGCACTGGGAATCAAACCTAGGTCTTTCGGAAGAGCAACAAATTCTCTTAACCAACTACTGAACCATCTTCCTAACCTCCACAGCCTTTTAAAAAAATGCCTTTTGAGGCTTAGTCTCACTAAATTGCCTTGCCCCCGGCCTTGCTCTGAGGCCTTGAAATTTCCAGCCTCCAAAGTAGCTGAGATTACAGACCAATAGTATTGTAAGTGCCTGGCATATAATAATCACTCAACATTAGCTATTATTATTATTAATTACAATTAGACAGGGTCTTGCTATGCATCCCTGTCAGTTCTGCAAGCTGGCCTTGAACTCACCGAAGTCAATATGCCTTTACTTCCCAAGCACCTTCTGAGATTAAAGGCGTGCGTGCACCACCACAACTAGCTTAATTCATGTGTTTGTGTGTAGGTAAGAGAACTTTCAGGAGTTGGTTTCTTTCCTTCTACCATATGGATTCCAGGGGTAGAACGCAAATCAGGCCAGCTTCATGAACCCGCTGAGCCATCTCACTATTAAGTTTTACTATAATCCATATGGTACAGAATTATGTTCTGGTTTTGTGTAGGAAAGGTAGGGACTGACTTTGCCTCATGGATGCTAGACAACTCTACCACTAAGCTAAGCCTAGCCCCAACTTAAAGACAATATTTAAAGTTGGGATGTGACGGCTCACACCTATATTCTCAGAACTCAGGAGGCGGGGCAGAAAGGGGAGGCGACATGCCAGCATGGTCTACCCAGGACCATGTAGAGGGTAGTACAAGTGTACAGGACAGTCATGTATATGATGACAGCATCTTGAAAAAGATTTACAAATAATGACTTACAGTTACTTACTGGTACCTAAACACACACACACACAAAAGAACTTGGAATTCCAAGTCACAATACCTGAATTCCAGTCTATAGAAACGGCAGCAGGGGGCATGGCGCTCAGTGGAGCGTAACCAGGCACTAAACCAAGCGTTCAAAAAGCGTTCACGTCACCCTACACTGATACAGAAATGCAAACCCTGGGCAAATTCACTTTCAAGACTGTCAAAGTGAAGTAAGAAGTCCGTCCACTCGCTAGACAGCTGTTAAATAAACGAGGGAGGGCCATGTCCCTGCCAACGTTCACCAGCAATGCCCTGGTGCTCGCGCCCCGTCGCTGGGTCCCAGCTAGGTCCCGGGTTTTGTTGGGCTGAGGAAACGGTCTCTCCGCTCCCTCTCCCGGGGCAGCGGCGCTCACCTGGCGCCGGTATAAGGTCGCCGAAGGGTTCATGGATGATGCCCCCGCCCTCAGAGAGAGTTGGTGCCAGCAGCCGGTCACCTCAGAAACGCCATAGGTGCATGGCCGCAGCGGCGGGGGCAAGGCCACAGCCCAGGACGCCGCTACCTCAAAGCCACGCATGCGCACCCAAACCGCCCGGCCGCGCTAGGGCGTCGCGCAGGAGGGAACGCTCCGAGTCTCGCGAGACTTGCGCCCCGTGCACGCGGCTAGAGAACCCGAATCTACATTCCCACGCTGGAAGGCTTCGGCGCGTCAAATGTCTCCGGAGCGTCGCAGCGGGAAAAGCCGAGCGAATTGAAAGCCGCTTCGAGGACCCAGTGACCCTGGTTCTCTTGGTTTCTGGCTTCCCTTAACTCAACTAGAAGGTCTTCTGTTTGCCTCCCTGTGGATATTTAGTCTGAAGAACCGGGCTGGGCTCTCAGAAATCCTGGTCTAAACCAAGCTAGCTCACGACGGAAGGGTCGACCAGTCAATCATCTATCTGCTCTTAATAGTGCTGACAACCGTGACATCCTATTAACACATTTACCATATTACTGCTGGATCCCGCGGCTGAGGTGGAAAGACCGACACCCAGGGGGACTCTGGGTCTCACTATTTCCATATGTTTGTGCAGTCCTGCATCTGTGCTCAGTTGAGAGGGCAACTTCTAGAGTCTCCGCAGGAAGGCCTTCACCACGTACATTCAGCCATCCTCCTGCCTGGTTCCCAGCGCACGTTTTTTATGGCTATTAGGGGTCAGAGGACAGCAAGCAGAATGGCCCTGGACCCTGGGAGAGATTTCCACCCGAGCCTGACCACCTGAGAATCCACAGTGGAAGGAGAGAATCCTAAATTGTTTTCTCTTTCTGCACACGAACACACATTCACACCAAAACAATAAATGAATAAATTTCAAATTATACATGAGCTAGGGATCAAATCCCTGTCAGCATCATGAAGCAAACGCTTTACTACATGTGTACACACCTAGTAAAAATGTAACAAATTAGAAAGTAAAAATAAACAAAAACTAACCAGGCGTTGGTTACACCTTTAATCCCAACACTTGGGAGTCAAGAGTTTCTAGTTCAGGGCCAGCCTAGTCTACAGAGCAAGTTCCAAGATAGCCAGGGACACACTGAGAAATCCTGCTTCAAAAAAATAAAAAACAAAATACAAAACCAAAACTCGATTGTGACAATTAGACAATTAGAATTAAAATCAATCTTTAAACTATGGGGTATTTTTAAATTTCAAGTGAAAGGGAAAAAGCCACATTATCAATAAGGGCAATTTTAAACCTTCATTTTCTAGCAGTAACATCTGCTGACAATAAGGGTTGAAAGTGCATTTTTCAAGAACTGTTTCGGGATTGGAGAAATAGACTCAGTGGGTTATGATGCTCCTCTAGCAGAGGGCCCAAGTGCCACTCCCAGCATGCAAAGGGGCAATTCACAGCCACCTTTAACTCCAGCTCCAGAGGCCCTACAGGTTCTTCTGGCTTCTGTAGATATCATACCCCCAAAGGAGGCATAGTCTGTGGACACTGAAGTGTCTTTTCCATGAACACCTAGGGTGTAGTACCTCCATGGGGAATCTTACAGCACCAAGAAAATACCATCAGAACACATGCTAGAATATCCATGACTGGTGCACTTGCTTTGCCAAATGTTCTTACTTAGCAAAATTCAGTTAGTGAAGAATTTCATTTTTAACTTCACATCTTTATTGCACATTTTTTTTCTAAGACTTTAGAACAAACAAAAGCACCCTTTCATTCAAGGAAGGATGTTTTTGCATGATAATGACTTCATGGACTCTACATTCTTAAAGGACTCTTTAACGACTAGTGTTCATGACGCTACTGCTTCTACTGCCTGGATTTGTATGTTCCCACACCTAAGGCAATTTAATAGATAAAAGACTTTCACATGTAACATCTGGTTTTCAATATTTAAGTTCACTCAATTCATTCATTAAAACTAGTTTCTCAGCCGGGCGGTGGTGGTGCACGCCTTTAATCCCAGCACTTGGGAGGCAGAGGCGGGTGGATTTAATCCCAGCACTTGGGAGGCAGAGGCGGGTGGCCAGCTTGGTCTACAGAGTGAGTTCCAGGACAGCCAGGGCTACACAGAGAAATCCTGTCTGGAGGGGTGTGTGTGTGTGGGGGGGGGAACCTAGTTTCTCTGTAAGTTAGTTTGATCGAGACTCCCCAAACTATAGACTGAAAACAGATACATGCCGTTTTCAATTGGTCAGAATTTTAGCCCCACAGTCTATAGCTAGAATAAGAATTCCTAGCTTTGCAGAGCATCTTGCACTCCTAACAGTAAGAATGAGTGTCTAAAGCAAATTTGCAGTCTGACTCTAGTCAACATCACCAGGCAGGTTCCTAAAATTCTTGTATCCTACCACAAGCTGCACTGTTTCTGTAACTCTTCTGTATGAGGTATAAACTCCAACATCACGAGCAACACTGACTACACAAGGTTCTAAGGCTTTTAACACACTTCAAGTAATCTCCAGAATGATTTGAGCAAACCTACCCATCCTGTGTTGCTGTATCAATCAAGTGGACTTTTGTTAATGAAGGAACTAATCCAACCAAAGTCCATTAGATTCTCACCAACCAAGGAGACATACTTCTAGTAAGAAAATGAAATACAAATTCTTTTGAAGTTTGCTCAGCTTTCTGCCAGTAAGCTGACCAACAGAAACACCTCCCACAAAAACAAGTGGCAGGGCTTGCCCAGCATGCACAAGGCCCTGGGTCCCACTGACAGCACCAAGTTGAGGGACAATCTATAGTGCTTTTCTAAAATAAAAAGTTAAAAAGAGAAAAAAATCAGTACCAAATGACCAAAATGTTTTATTTGACTAAATTCAGATTCATGCATAAGCATGACAGTCAGAGTCAGTCTCTCTCAGTCTCTCTCAGTCTCTCTCAGTCTCTCTCAGTCTCTCTCTCTCTCTCTCTCTCTCTCTCTCTCTCTCTCTCTCTCTCTTTCTCTCTCTCTCTCTCTCTCCCCCCAGACTTTGGCAATTAAAAAACAAAACCAAGCAACCAACCACGCAGCCGTGTACAGAACAGTGAGGACGCCGAGGACGAGGAGTCTACAGCTTTACTGTAGGATATATATATACACACATATGTACATATGTATATATTTCTGAAAGGCCTCTCCTCTGCTTGGCCGTGTCAACTCTCAGGTCACAGTCAGAAACATGACTTCAGAATCACTTCTTCACTTCTCCAAGGTCTTCAATGCTGTCATCATCTACCTGTAAGACACAGGTAAAAGAACTTCATGAATTGTGGCAGAAATTAAGAAGGAAAGAGGTAACTTGCTTTAAAAACTTGCATCTCTGGGTACAAGTATCCTGTGCACTTACCTCTGGCCACTTCTCCTGAATGACGTCGATTATGTCATCTGTGAAGTCTCCCTGAATGATGATCTCATCCTCCCCTGTTACTGAGGCACCGCAGGAGAATTTTTGAGCAAAAAATCTTTGTGCTTCTTTGAGATCAATTTCTGTTTTGGTTTGTTTGGTTTTTTGTTTTAGAAAAAGAAAGCGTGAGAGCATAATTGGAATTGTAACATCAAAGGTATTTCTTCATTTTAAAATTTCATCTATATTTTAAGACCATTTAACCGATGATATTAATACCACCTCCCACCCTGAATTAACTAAAACTGCCGTAGGTAGAGCTCGTAACACGTATTTTCAAGATCATACAGTCTCAGTACATAAAACAGCATCCTCCACTCTGTTCTACCACACAGTAAAACCAAAATGGCTGGGTATGGTAACTCTTTAATCCTAGCAGGCAGAGGCAGAAGAATCTCTGGGTTACAGGACAGCCTGGTCTACACAGTGAGTGTGAGTTCCAGAATATCCAGTGCCACACAGAAAGACCATGTCTCAAAAAGTAAAAAATAAAAAAAATCCAGGAACATATTACTTCCAGGCATCACATCCATCATACTTAATTAAGCTCTTTACAGTAGAAAGACTGAAACCAGAGACCCAAGCCTTTTATTTAAGTCCAGCTGCCTTGAACCTGCACCCTCCATCCTGTCTTAAGCTTCCCACACGGCAGGATTACAGGTGTGTGCCATGTAAACAGTTTAAATCTAGCAACTGAAGAGCTTTAACAAACCTTTGCCCCATTACCCACCTTCCCTCACCTCTACTGTCAATTCCTAGAAACGGGCTATTTTTCAAACCTCTCAAAAAAGACTGGTAGAGAAATAGGAACAGTCCCGGGCAGTATTAAATTCTATTTACACCTCCGCACTCTATGCAAATACCCAAGCAATAATCCCTTAAGAGCTGGGCACTGGTACATACCTGCAACCCCAGATACTCAAGAAACTAAGAAGTAGTTTGAGGTCAGCCAAGGCAACATAGCAAGATAGCATCTCAAAAACAAAAACTAAGTGAAAATACCAAAAAGGGGGGAGGGGAGATGTGCTAGTGTGCTCTACAAAAGATTTTAATGTTAATTCTAAAATTAGCTAGAAATGCAAGACCCAGGGCTGGATATCAGATGAAACAGAGAGTCCCTGACTAGCACTCTTTAGGAGGCCTCACTTCAATCTCCAACAGTGGACTACATAAGCTAGGCTGGGGTACACTCCTAGAAACCAGAACTTGGGGTTGGAAGCAGGAGGACCAGAAGTTCAAGGCCATCCTTCATTACTAGCAGAGCCAGCCTGAGACATTAAGAGTTTCACTCAGTCTTTTTATCTTTTTTTTTTTTTTTTCTGTTTGTTTGTTTGTTTTTGAGGCAAAGTTTTCTATGAAGCCCTGGCTGCTCTAGAACTCCCTATATAGACCAGACTGGCATATGCCTGCTTCTGCCTCCTGAGTACTGGAATTAAAGGGGTATACTACCATACCTGGCAACTCTACCTTTAAGGTACAACAGAATCTTAAAGCAACAAAAACAGAAAACAAAATCAAACATGCTGAACATGGCACGTGTGTATAATCCCCTAGAAAATAAGGTGGGTGGACTGTCTGAACTAGACAGAAAGTTTCAGGCTAGCCTGGGCTACAGAGCAAGATCTTGTCTAAAAAAATTTTTTAGAACAAGGGCCAGAG